GCAATTTGACCCACACGAGGTCGCCTACTTTGAATTTGCTCATCTTGAGGCGCGTTACGAAGAACCGGACTGTCTCCTCCTCTTCCTGCTGTGGTTCTGCCGCTGGCGATGATGAAGATGATGGCGATGTGGCTTTGGTCACTGAAGTATTATCGTTGGGCGTCGCTGACGGTCGCTTGGGGCTGTGACGATGTGTCTGCGGGCGACGCGGTGCTGAATTTGAATTTAAATTGGAATGGGGGCGGTTGGAAGTGGGCGAAAGGTTTGACGGCGACCGCGAGGGGGCGATCTTCGACGGTGTAGTGGTAGTGGTGGTGGTGCTGCGATTCGGTTGGTTGCAGAGTGGGGCAGCACTGCTGGATGGAGTGGTGGGTGTTGGTGCAGCAGGTTGTTGCTGTTGCTGCCGTTGGAGGCGCTGGCGCTGCTTCCTAAGGCGTCGGCGCTGTCTCGACCGAGACTCGCCCAATGCAGAGGTGGAGGTAGCAGCTGGCGAGGAGGCCGTCAAAGCTGGGGCGGCGACGCTAGAGGAGGTGGTGATAGGCCCTTTGCGAGAGGAGAAGGATAAAGGTGAGGGGGACGCTGTGGACGACCCGGCCTCCCTTACAAATCGATTCGGCGGCGCGTGACGTTGCGTCCTCGCTCCCTTGGTCCTTTCTCTTGCCCCTCGCGAGGTCGAGGAAGAAGCACGCGGTGAGGATGAGAGACACGGCAAAAGAAGAAGAGGAGGAATCAGATGCGCCCCACAGCAAGCAGATGGCGCTCGGGTTGGTTGCTTCCCCCACTTGAACGTTTGAGTCAGGGTGGTCACTGACACTCGGTCTACGCCCTCTGGCCCATTGGCACAACCGACCACGACCGCCAAACCCAACGGCTCAATTCCAAGAAAATTGTTCACATTTTCTAAATACTCGGGCATGACGGGAGTGTCGGCGAAAGTGCGTCGGGGAAATTTACTCCGGGCAACACGCCGCAACGGGTGGACGGGGTGCGGCTTGGTGTGCGGACCCACCAGGCGTGCATCTAGCTGCACTTCCCTGTTTTATACCCAACCAACCAGCCCACCACCAGGTATAAAAATGGACTTCATCTTTGCATCTTTTGCATCGTTCATCTTTCAATCATCCAATACTACGGCAGGCCCTGATCCACCATCCACTTGCCCTCTTCCTCCTCTACTACTATCGTCAAGAGCATGACGTCATCACCAACCTACCCCACCGTGGAGCTGGAAACGTTGGCCAAGGAGCAGGCGGAAAGGGTTGCTGCTGTTCTACGTGCCTCAGCCCACATGGACTACATTGGGGAGTCCATCTCCCAGCTCGAGCACGCCCTCCAGTGCGCCAAGTTTGCTGCCGACTCGGGTAAGGCCAAATATCACCTTGCCACGGCGCACGATCAGCCTTGCCTCACGCACCTCACGACCACCAAACGTGGCTACAGGCGCGGACGAGGAGACGGTGCTGGGCGCGATGCTGCACGACGTGGGCCATCTGCAGCTGGATGTCGACCAGGACGAGAGTTCGCTTGCGCGCATGGGAGCCGTGGGTGTGCAGAACCACGAGGTGGTGGGGGCCAGCTACCTCCTGCGCCTGGGCTTCTCGGACAAGGTCGCCCAGCTCGTGTGCGGTCACGTCCAGGCTAAGGTGAGCCCCGCCTCTTCATCACCGTCTTCTTCAAGCGATTTACTCAACTTGTTTGGCGTGTCGTGTGTGTTGGTCACGGGGTCTAACAGCGCTACCTGGTGTGGAAGCACGATAACTACGCACGGAAGCTGTCGCCGGCCAGCAAGCTCACGCTCGAGTACCAGGGCGGACCGATGAGTGACGCCGAGGCGCTGGCGTTTGAGCAGAGCCCGCTGTTCGACGCCATACTCAAGCTGCGCAGCTGGGACGACAAGGCCAAGGTGGTGGGACTCCGAGTGCCCGATCTGGACCACTACCTACCGATGATGGTGCGACACATCAGGCACAACCTCGGCCGACACGACGCCTGATCCTTTCGCACGCACGCGAAGTACATATATTCATCCACCACCATCACCCCAGTTGTACACACGATCTACTAACCGGTTACGTACCTCAACTGCACAACATTGCACACAGCCGCACGCACAACATCACACGCTTTGTACATGACTGTAGATAAAGGCGACAGGAGCTTCACCCATTTATCTTGCCTCTTCACTCTTTCGTTAGAGCTTGGGGTGGCGAGGCGGGTTGGGCAGGGGCTTGCCGGTGATGCGCCATTCGGCCGAGCTCACCACCACGACGGGCACCGACTGCGGCACCGTAGCACCCATGGCGTAGTAGTTCCACTCCTCGGCGTTGTCCTGCACGTTGCCCAGCTCGTCGATGGCCTTGGTCATGAGGAAGTGCTTGGCGCCGGCGCGCGCGTTGCGCCACTCGAAGCTCCACGCGATCCAGGCAAACTTGCCCACGGCCTTGGCGGCCAGTGTGGCCTCGGCCCACGTGACGCCGCCGTCCACGCTCACCAGCACCTGCTTCACCGCCAGCGGTCCCGCCCACGCACGGCCCTTCAGCTTGACGTTGCCTGCGCCCACCCACCACCGTCATCAGCCACACCATGTGAGCTTATGTCACTTAGAGTGGTGAGTACCTTCTTCGACGAGGCACCTCAAGGTGCGATCGCTCATGGTGCCTCCCGGCGTGCCTGACTTCTTCACTCGCGTTCGCCTCATCCTCTCGCCTTCCTTGTCACCAGGGTATCGGGTGTACATGTAGGCCTGCATCTGGTAGCCGTCGAAGGGCGTCGAGATGGCCTCAATGGAGTCGAGCCACTTGACGTTGGTCATGCCGTACCAGCCCGGCACGATGAGCCGCAGTGGCGCCCCGTGCTGCGGCAGCAGCGGCTGCCCGTTCATCTCGTACGCCAGGATCACCTTCATAACCGACCATCATCCATCACTCATCAGAATCCACTCAACCATGCCAGCGTCACCGCATCTACCTCGTTGCGGGTGGCGTCGTCGATGGTGAGCGAGCGCTGATAGTACTGCATCTCGCCGCCCTGCACGCCCTGATCGAGGCCGGTGAAGAGGAGCTCGATGGCCTTGTCCTGCAGGCCGGCCTCCTCGAGGAGGTCCTTCAGCGGCGTGCCCGTCCACACCGCCGTGCCCACGGCCCCGTACTTCCACGGCACGTGCGTCCAATATCTGAAGAAGGCAACGATAAGCAAAAGGTGGGAGAGCGTTTGTGCTAAAGAAGAAGGCGACGGAAAAGACAAAGCAAGTACCGCTTCTTCATGTTGATGCGGCCATTGCCAGCGCACTCCATGGTGACTGGCACGCTGACGCGGGGCCTCCGCCGGATGTCGGCCATGGACAGGTCGAGCTCGCGGTCGACCAGCCCGCGGAGCTTTAGCCGGTAGGTGGCCTCCTCGATGTCCGTGGGGATGTCGAAGTGGATGAGAAGGTAGTGCATACCAGCAGGTGTGATCTCGAGATTGAGGCCCTCCAGGTGGTGCCCGTGGCACCGGTTGCCCAGATAGACCTCCTCGGAGGTGAAGTCGTCCTTCTTGAAGCTGTGGTAGGGGGACACCGTGCGGGCGTGGTCCAGCGGCTTCGTCATGCCCGGCCTCATCTCCAGCGCCCACCCTGGCTTCATCTTGTCCAGCTGCCGAAGCCGACCAAAGAGGCACCACGACCAAAAACAGAAAAGAAGAAATGGAACAGAAAACAGTACAGAAAACACGAATGGGCCATAAAAACAAAACCAGACCGCCATGAGGGGGAGCGCCTACCGCTTGCAGCGCCTTTTTGGCGCTGATGGTCGATGCTTTGGTTCGTACTGCTCCTCACCAAGATGTATATATATATATAAGATGTATATCTTTTTTGCTGTTTGTGCCGCTGCTTATGCAACAACAGACGTGGCGGTGGATCACGGCATCTTTGGCGAGCTCACCTTTCTCAAGGGCATCGAGGTACTGTACCTCCTGCCGCTGGGCAGGTTTTATGACAAACTTGTGGGCATTGTGTTCATGAACGTGGCGGGCCAGGACATGGAAGCGGTGGTGCGGATTGTGGTCGAGGCCAACCCCGACGCTGTGCAGCTGAGTCCCGGCCAAGCGCACCTCCTGCAGTCGATTCCCGGCAAGGCTAAGCCCGCGCTCGTCCTCGTACGCAACTCGGGCTGCGAGCTAACCAATTCGCACGCTCACCTCAACTTGCCCAACAGCGCGTGGACACAACGAACGCATACGAACAGCCGAAACCGAGCCAGCTGTTCAGCCAAATGATCGCCGACCCCGTGGGCCAGGCACTACGCCTCGATGCCGCGTGCGTGGTATGGCCCCAGCGTGCGGTGTCTAGACTGACGCACACAGACACCTGACCAGTCACCACCAAAAATATGCATCCTTGCCTCCTCGCCAGGTGGTGAACCTGATCCGCATTGAAGGGGCCGAGACGCTCTATCACCAGTGCCTCCAGAATATCGTACAGATCAAGCCCGAATGCGAGAAGTGGGGCATGCCGCTCATGATCGAGCCGCTCATGTACATATCCTTCTCCTTCGTGCTATGAGCTTTTGTGCTCAGTGTCGCCCACAGAATGAGGGCCGATGGCGAGCGATACGGTGTAGACGGCGATGCAACCAAGATCATTCCTCTGGTGCGGCAGGCCGTCGAGCTGGGTATTAATCGCCCCAACTCACTCCCATGCTTTGAAAGCAGAAATCTGATAGATGTCATTCTTGCGCACCACACATACACAGGGGCCGACATTATCAAAGCCGATCCCACGACAGACATGGAGGAATACCACAAAGGTAAGGAACAACCGGTGGTGATGTTCTGGGTCGAGGAACATGCTGATCTCTGCTGCTGCTGCTGCTGCTGCTGTGACTCGCAGTGGTGGCGGTCGCGGGGCGGGTGCCGGTCCTGGTGCGCGGCGGCGGCCGGGCGTCGGACGAGGAGGTCCTTCAGCGTACAGCCACGGCCATCGGCCAGGGCGCACGCGGCATCGTCTACGGCCGCAACGTCGTGCAGCACCGCACGCCCAAGGGCATGACGCAGAGCCTGATGGGCGTCGTCCACGATGGCCTCTCCCCCGCCGAGGCTCTCCACCGCCTCCAAGCCTTCTAATTTTGTTTATTATTTCAATTTTATTTGCATTTGCTATTTCTTTTTGTTGAAGGAATGTGACGCAGCCACCGCTGTCGTGGACAACGAAGAGCGGCAGAAAAGACACGGGAACCAGTGCTGGTCACACCACACCGCGATACCAAAGAGTTAGAGCCGAACCTCAATCAACAGATTCGATTCGAGGAGAATAGGTGAGTGGTCGTAACTGGAAGAGGAGGCAGAGAATGGAGGCAGCACCCGACTCCGCGCTCGATTCCTACTTCCTGCTTCTGGAAGGCGAACTCCGACGCCACCTGAACGCCTTCCTCGCGGCCCAGGCGCAGAGCGGCACCGTCGACGTGGCCGGCATCGCGTCGCCCGACGTGCGGCTCCTGCTGCAGACGCTGGCCAAGCGGTGGCACAGTCCCCAGGCCGCCACCACAGCCCAGCAGCAGACCCAGACCCAGTACAAGAAGAAGAACCTGCGATTGGAGGGCTCCTCAGTGATCGCTACCAACTTCCTCACCATCCTGACTGTGCTCAACTGCTACCATCACAGGAGTACTGCTCCCCCCCTTCCCTCCTTCGCTTTCGTATTTTTTTCGTTTCTTTCTTTTGTTTTCTTTCTTTTTTTTTGTCAGGTTGGCCTCTCACCTTGATGCTTGGATTTGGTCAGGCGAGACGCACTGGGAGACGATCGAGCAAGGCCACGAGTGCGCGTTACGCGTGCTGCGAGCCCTTCGCGACAAGGCAGACATCGACACCTCCGAGAGTGTGCGGCAGTTGCTCGTGCAGTGGGAAGCGCTGGAACGGTTTGGCGATTTTGCCTTTGACCACATCCCAAAGGTGTGCCCGGCCTCACTCCCACCACCGCATTCACTCACCACTCACTTACTTACTGTGCTCCTCCATCTTCTGAACTGATACCCGTCACAGATCACGGTGGCCGAAATTTCGCAGCGGGACGACCATGGCCATCCACCATTTGGCGGCTCGGCGACTCCACGACTCGTTCTCCGGGGCCTGCCGGCGGAGGCCACCGCACGTGGGGTGATGTGGAGCCTCCAGGCGCAGGACGTGGACGTGGACGAGTCCATGATTCATCTCGCCGACGTCGGCGAGGACGGACCTGCAGAGCCCTTTGTGGAACTCAAATCGCCCGACGACCAGCAGGCGCTGCTTGAGCTCGGCAGCCTTCGTATCAAGAAGACTCCGGTACGCCGCCGGAGAGAGAGAGAGGAGGGGCTACCATCGAAATATTTGTGAGCTCACACTCGCTGTGTACGTGCGTGCGTGGCCAGGTCCACTTTGTGAAGCCGGTGGAGTCGAGAGAGGTGGTGCTCTACCTGCCCAAGCGGCTCGCCACGCAGGCCTTGGCCGGTGCGTGGGAAAACGAGTTCGGCCATGTACTCGGTGAAGGCGAGATCGCGTGCCTCGATGACGAGGGTCATGTGGTAGCGGTGCGCCTCACGCCCGAGCAGTACGCAGAGGTCGAGGGCAAGGAAATCACACTAATGCGCAGACAGGTTCACCTCGCCACCACCCTCGCTTGCCTTCAAGTCTGGCAGCTAACAGCACGACACACATGACACACAACACGCACGATACGTCACATGCACAATACAGACCAAGATTCGGCTGATGCAACATCATGTCAAGTTGTTGCTCCCGTCGGCTGACATGTCGACCAGTACTGTGCGCGCGGCGGTGGTGAGCCACCTGGCCGAGAAGGTCGACGGCTGCCTGACCGAGCTGGTCCGCATTGACGACAAGCTGCCGTGGGCCGTGGCTCAGCTCAGCAATCGATCGGCCACAGATGCGCTGCTCCAGGCGAGATATCTGAGAGCAGCAACCACCGCAGCAGCAACGACTACGACATCGACCACCATTAGCGATAGCGCGGTCCACGCGGCAAGTATAACTCCGACACCCTCTCCGGGCCTCGCGCACCGCCAGTGGTTCCCACCTGGCCCGGGCAACACTCCGCGTTCAACTCCGACAACCAAGACCGACGCGCCGCCCCCCAAGCCGACCCAGCCTACCAGCAGCGCCAAGCCGACCGTGCTCGCACAAGTGACCCAGACGCTCACGGCGAAGGCGGTGGTGACCAACGGTACCGCCGACGCGCGCGAGCAGACCGAGCAGCTGATGGAGATGGTAATGCTGCACTACCTCAAAAAGCAGCGCGCTCTGCTCGACAGCATCGAGGCCCAGTACTCGGTCACGATCACGCCCTTCAGTGAGAACAACGCCGGCTTCGTATGCGTCTCGGGCAACGCCAAGGCCGACCTGAATGCCGCCTGGCTGGCCATCGACGCGGCTCTGGTCAAGGCCCCGCGGAAGCTCTTCACCTTCCTGAACTTCCAGGACCCGATCGTGCGGGTGTGCTTCAAGCGCAAGCTCCAGGGCCTCCACGCCTTCAGCCCGTCCACCGCGGTTCACGTCGACATCGAGCCCGGCACACACGAGGGGCCGGTGGTGGTGCACCTGATGGCCTCCGACGACGTCGAGATGAACAAGCTCGGCAAGGAGCTCACTAGCACGCGGACGCGGATCGTCTTGGCGCCACCTCTGCCGCTCGCGCCCGACGCGGCTGCCGGACTGAACGTCCAGAAGCTCGAGCGGGTGTTCGGCGTGGTGGCCGCGGTCGACCCGCTCACGCATCACCTTAAGGTGGCGGGCTATCAGAAGTCAAACAAGGAGTGCCTGGCCCACGTGGCCGAGCTCATTGGTGGTCAGGGAGCGAACACCACCAACACCAAACCTGCACCGCCCGCCGTGCCCGTGCCGACTGCATCATCGCCGCCGCCTGGCCCCAAATCCACCGCAACAAAGCAGCCTCAGCCTCAGCCTCAGCCTCAGCCTCAGCCTCAGCCTCAGCCTCAGCCCCAGCCCCAGCCCCAGCCCCAGCCTCAGCCCCAGCCCCCGCTTGACGGAGTGAAGAGCGCAGCGGCGAAGGCCCTACGGCTGTCGCCCCGGCCCGAGGGCATGACCACCGGGGAGCTCGGCATGCTCGTGCGGGCCGAACTCGGCGTCGAGCCCACGTTCATTGTCGTGCACGGTGAGTCGGCCTATGTCCGATATCGGCCCATCGACTCCGACAATTGTGCTCTCACTCCGACGAAACAAACGATTGTCCGACGCGACTGTTCCGACCTACCAGTACGCGCACTCTCTTGCACTTCTTTCTCATTCGTATTCTAAAATCTCGATTTCGATTGGGTGATCAGATTCAAGTGGAATCGTTCCAAGGCGAGATGCCAGCTTGGAAGCTCTGCCTGCAGGGTGAGAGCAACGCGTTGGTCAAGCTGTCCACCGACCAAGTCGAGGCGGATGTACTTGCCGTGCTCCGATCTCTTCCACAGTCGGTAACGCGACACGACACGACACGACACGACACGACACGACACGACACGACACGACCAACGACACGACCAACGACACGACACGACCAACGACACGACCAACGACACGACACGACCAACGACACGACACAATGCGAGTGTGGTTCTTACATTTCGAGGTTCAGGATGTGGAGCTGGAAGTGGGTCAGGTGAAGGTGTGGCACAAGCTGATCACCGTGGAGATCGGCACCGAGGCACACCTGCGCCAACTGCAACATGGCCTCCCCTCGCCCGTTCTCATTGGCCGTGCCCAGGCACCTTCCCCTCCCTGTTCGCAGAAAAGCCACCTTCGGTCGAACCTCATCTAACGGTAATGTTTGTGTTTCCCGGTGGCATTTTCCCGGTGTAATGCAGGCGACCGTGCGGGACGAGTCGTTCGACCGAACAGAGCAGTTGGCCGACGTGGGGCTGGCCATGTACCTGGCCAAGCGCCGGGACTCTGCCCTCCTCGCCATCGAGCGGGCCCACGCGGTCACCATCACCCCGATGTGGGGCCACTCTCTCACCCGCGAAGCACAGGGGCTTGCCTTCGTGCGCGTCGGCGGTCAAACGCTCGACGCGGTCGAGCTCGCCTGGCAGTGCGTCGAGTCCCTGATCCAGGCCGTGGTGCGGCGCAAGGCGCAGTTCAAGTTCGGGCCCGACGAGGCCCTGGCGCGCAAGTGCTTCAAGGCCAAGCTCAAGCAGCTCAATGACTCGCGCGACTGCCCTACAACAATCTTCTTCGACGATCGACAGCAGGCCGCCGTAACGGTGCACGTGCTCGGCGACAACGTGAACGACGCCAAAGCCCAGGACCCGAACCACGTGCGCTCCCGCATTATTGTCGACAAGACCTCGCTTCGGCTGCCACCCTCCTCGACCGGGCGTCCGGCCCCGGACTGGAGCGAGCTCGCCAAGTCGCATGACGTCATCATTGAACCGGCCGACTGCGGGGCTGTCGCCGTGGCCGGCTATCGCGATGCAGTCACCAAGTGCGTGGCCCACATCGTCGGCCTCCTCTCGCCCAGCGGCTCCACCCCAGCCCCAGCCCAACCCACAGCCCCCGTCGCGACCCCAGCCCTGGTCACGGCCCCAGCCATCGCCAGCGATTCGACTTTGGCGGGCGATGAGGTTCGCTTGCCCACGACAGCGATGCTTGAGTACACGCCCGACGAGGCCGAGTCGGTGGCCAAACTGCAGCCGGCGATGGTCGAAGCCAAGTTCGACGTGCGCGTGCAGCTCGACCGCCAGCTGGGCGCCATCACCGTCTCCGGCGTTCAGTCGCCCTCGGTCGCGCGGGCCGTCAAGTACATCAGGTCCCGTTCCTTCTTGCACGCCACACACGACACACAGGCCACAGCACACAGCTTTGTTTACCCTATAAACAGGAAGTGGATCAAGCGAGGCACCAAGGCGTGCGCTTCGGCGGTTGACCCTGAGACCACCGCCGCTACTACTACAGCGACGGACGAAGCGGCAGCTGCGCCGCCTCATCAGGAGAAGGAGCACGGCCAAGCGCCGCTTGTGGCTGATGAAGCTCGGGCCGGGCCAACCGTGGTAGCGGACGAAATTGAAGGTGATAGCGCAGCGCAGTGCGGCACCCCGCTCGTTCTTAGCGAGAAGGGCGAGCACCAAACGGAGGTCGGCCCGGCCTGACACGTGCCCGCCAGCAACAACCAATGGTACCGCACAGAGGCTTTTATTTCATTTTACAAATGCAGCACAGGACCCAAATCGTGGAGGCTGTTTAGGCGAGCGCGTAGGTCTGGCGCTGGCCAGTGGCCGCGGCGCGCTCGATGGCGTCGAGCGAGCGGTGGCGCCGCACCGCGTCGGCGAACGTGGGCACCGACCGCCGGCCCGTGCGCAGGTCAACCGCCAGCTCGCGGAAGAACTCCACCAGCGCGTAGCCCATGTCTTCCGGCTTCACCTCTCCCTTGGTGTCGGGCTTGAACTCGTCCGGAATCGGCAGCTCGGCCAGTTCGGTCTGGTCGTCGTGGGCGCCGTAGACGTTGAAGAGGCCGATGTGGCAGATTCCGGACTCGGTGTTGACCACCTCGATGTCGCCCCGGGTACCGTTGATGGTCCACCGCAGTCGATTGGCGCCGCGACGCGACACACCGCCGCGCAGGTGGACCGACGCCACGGCGCCGTTGGTCAGCGTGCCGGCGACGGCCAGGTGGTCTTCGGCGGTCTTGTCCAGCTCCTCGCCCGTATCGGCGCGCTTGACCTTAGGGTGCTGGTTGGCCAGCACCGCCGACAGCTCCTGGAACTCGGCTCCTACCACCCAGAGCAGGGCCTCGATAGAGTGGCCGCCCAGTATGGAAAGCATGGTGCCGCCCGAGGTGCGGTCGCGCAGGTAGTCCTGGAAGCCCTGCGGCGCGACCGGACCCCAGGTGCTGATCGAGCCGACAAAGCTGGTCGACAATACCTGGCCCACGTAGCCCGAGTCGATCAGGTGGCGCACGTATCTGGCGTAGGGAGCGCCGCTTATCTGGGTGCAGCTGAAGGTGCGCACGCCGCGCTCGCGGGCTAGGGCCTCGAGCCGCTCAGCCTGGTCGAGGTTCCGCCCGAGAGGCCACTCGCACAGCACGTCCTTGCCGGCGCGGATGGCGGCCTCGACGGGACCGTAGTGATCGGTCACCTTGACGCTGACTACAACTAGATCAACCTCTGGCCGCTCGACCAGGGCTTGGTGGTTGTCGAAGTAGAGCGGCACATTGTGCTTGGCGGCGGCCTCGCGGGCAGAATCGAGGGAGGTGGCCGACAGGGCGCGCACCTCGAAGTCGCCGGAGAGAGCCCGGAAGGCGGGGAGTTGGGCCACAGAGGCCCAGCCTCGCTTGGCGCTTAGTCCGATGATGCCGACCCCGATCGTGCGCGCTGCCGTGGTGCTGTCATTCGTGATAGTGGTGCTCATTGTAGTTGATGTTGCGGGTTCGTTCTTCGTGTTGATGCTTCAGTGCTGAATCAACCCTTTTGTTGCCCTCTTTTATAGGATGTGTGGTTAGAGGCCTGTGCCACTCTCGGCGCGCAAGGGCAAATGGCGCGCTCAAAAAACAATGCCCGATAATGGCGATGCGCAATCGCCGACAGTTAGTTCTGCAGTCGCGCAGAAAGAACACGTCCTAGATAAGGTCATCCCTGCCATAATCGTCTTCCTAGAACAATGTTCAACATTGGACGAAGTCTCACGATCACACTGCGGCGGCCAGAGGGACGGCCTGAAACATGTTGATTGTGTCATCAGATAGTGCGATCGACGTCGAGAGCGTGCGCCTGCGCTTTTTCTTGCCCTGCGCTTCGACTCGGTTCCACTGGTCCTCAGGCGAGACCCGCAGCTCGCGCCCTGGGAACACCTGCACACCGGTGAGCAGCCTTGGATGAGGCTTCCGCAGAGGAGTGAGGAGGCCGCTTGCTCACGTGACGCAGCGCCATGCCCTCCGCCCTCCTTGACCGCCTGCATCATCAGAGTCAGTAATCATACATGTAAATGTCTCTGCGTGAGAGCTCCAATGCCTTCTTCCAACCGGCGGAGTTCTTGATGACGACTTTAGCGTCGTAGCCAGTGTACTTGAGCTTCATGGGCATGTGCCAAGTGTTCTCTATCAGTTAGGTCAGCTACTTCTTTAACTCCGAACAAGCCTGATGAGAGCTCACCTGCTGGACAGGTTTCTCTCCAGGGCTTGATAGACATTGCGGTCAAAATCGATGGGGATAGATACGCCTCGTCAAGGCGCTTCGAACGCGGGCGGTGGCATCGCGCAGCGCTAGCGATCACTAGCGAAATGCATGTTGGTGGCTGGTCGAGGGCTGATGTCGGTTGCCTTCTGAGGCAATGTTTTCTTTTTGGGCCTCCAACTTGCTCTCTTAAAATCGGACAGCGGATCATAGAGCCGCGCGTCGGCGCGACACGACACAGCTTCGACGTCGCCACTGCTTCAACTCGGCACTCACCGATCAGGACCGCGATCGCGTGGGCCTGCTCATTTCGTGTTACAACGACTCTTATATGCTGGTGAAACACTCGGCGATCTGCACCCTCATCAGAGGGTGGGTTCAGTGAAGTCCTCCCCCCCAGCCCGCCACATTGCGTCGTGTCGGCGGCGTACGCCAGAGAAATGTGGTTTCAGGGTCACGGCAGCATTGGCGGCCCAAAGCGGCTCTGGACCAAAGAGAGAAAGCGTCCTGGTGGAGTCTCGCGACTAACAGGCCTAAAGACGAGCACGAGCACGACCACAGCCTATGTTGGCAGCCTGGCAGCCCACACCGCCAACCGTTTCGGATCAGTTTACCATCACGACGCAGTTACATCCCCATTTGAGGGCCGCGGGTCTTGATCGGCGCCTACCCCTCAGCCAACCACAGGGCCACTCTTTAATTGATCATAAAATTGTTTTTAAAATAAATAAAAGAAAAGGATAATGAAAAAAAAGAGTGTTGCTCAGGCCGCCGGGAGGTAGGAGGTGCCGGAGAAGGTGTCGAGAAGGGTCTTGCCGCGGTCCAGGCGGTCGTAGGCGCTCCTGACCACCGAGACCCTCCGCTGGCGCGTGTGCGTCGCGTTGGCCTGGTCGTAGATCTCCGAAAGCGTGCGGAAGTCGTCACTGTCGTACGTGTCATGCCAAGTGGAACGATGATGCACCACCCGATCGTGGAGCAGGGCGTTCATGGCCGGACTCCACGCCCAGCTTTCCCTGCGGTGTGGTAGCGGGTGTGTCATTAAAAATAAATACAAAAATAAATATTAATCAATAAATTGTAATTGTAATCAACAAGAAGGGCGTACAGGGTGAGGATGAGATCGACGCCGGTGTGGTTGTAGAACTGGTCCGTGGTCCAGAAGTTGCCGGCCAGCATGCTCGCGGTGATGTTGACGGAGATGTTGGCGTACTCGTAGTAGGTGTTGGCGATCTTGTCCATGTTGCACTTGACGCACAGCTGCGGCACCATGCCCTCTCCGCAGAGCTCGCCCGCGGGGCACTGCTCGTCGCTGGTGCACCGGTGCCAGGGCTGGGAGATCTCGCAGTTGTAGCGGTCGTTGCGGATGACCAGGCGCTCACACTCCGCAGCATTGAACGTCTGCTCCAACCGGCCACCAGCAATCCAACCCACTGACCACCGGCACCACGTTTAGTTTGGTCTGGTCAGAGGAGACCGCAGGTTGTCAACCTGGACAAGCCCGGCCCCCTCGATGGTGCCCAGGTTTCGGGGCGAAAATACGGGGTAAGACGTACAGGGCAGCTTCCAAGTGAGGGCTGGACAGCTGGCGGCCTGAGCCTGGGGCTGGAACACAGCGGCCGAAGGGGACGAACCCAACAGGACCACGACAGCAACCACGAGAAATGAGGTCTGAAGAGTGAGGCTCAGAGGCATGATACGCAAAAACTGACTGAGGTCAAGTCCTTCTCAGGCCCTGCTGCGGAGTGCTTTGAAGGAGAACTGGGTAGTTAGCTTCTCAGCTCTTTCCCACTTCATTAATCAGCTCATTTCGTGGAACGAAAAGGGTAGTCAGCTTCTCAGAGTCCTACCGACGTGGGGTGGTGGGAGGTGGTGGTCGAAGGAATGCCAGGACTGCGGTGTCGACCGGCGGGGCGTTGATCTGCTCGCGGCTCTTGCCCACCGTCTCGTCAATGCACGCGATCGTCACCACGGCGCCCAGAGACGCCACCACCCCGCACACCAGGAACACCACCCGCAGGCCCCACGCCTCCAGCACGTTCGCCATCACCACTGTGTGTTCATGCGTGTGTCGTGGTGCGAGTTGTACGTGTGCGTGTGCGTGTGCGCGCGCAAAGTCAGCCCCTCATACCGCCCTATTCAACAGAGAGGAAAACGTACCTGAGCCAAGAGCGCGCAGCCATGAGGAGGAAGCCCAGCGTCTGGAGGGACTTGCGGCCGAGTAGGGTCTCGATGAGGTAGAGTATATGAGTGAAGATATGACAGATAATACCTAAAAGAGAAGGTGAGAAGACCGGGAATGGCTCCGACCGCGATGCACAGTCGCCAGGAGAGGTCGAGGTGAGAGGCGGGCATGAGCTTGAGCGTGGCCCACGACACAACGGCGGCGAGCGCGCCAATGCCCTGCATGGAGAATACGGCTGCCGTGAGCCGGCCTCGCGAGGCGGTTGGCCGACTCGGCGGTGATGGTGGCGGAGAGCGGGTATTCGCCGATGCCGATGTCCAGCACGAATCGCACCACGACCAGCACGGCCGCGATGGAGATCGGCCCCACGGGGAAGGCCAGAGCGCTGGCCAGCGTGCCCAGGATGACCAGCGGCAGTGAGTGGCAGACTTTCGCAAGAAAAACGCTGTTTTTCGAGATAGAGATGTTCAAAATTGAATAGATCTCTAATTCTCGGTCATCTCACTCCGCACACCACCTGGTTGCTGGTCTTGGCAAGACTACGCCGAGACCACCGACCCGCGCATCGTGGGACTGGCCGGCGCGCGGTGCCCCAACCTGCGTTCCTTCCACAGCCGGTCGACCCTCCTGGTGGGCCATAGCGAGATCCTCTCGTGCGCCGCCCTGGCCCAGGTGGTGGCGTGGACGCCCTGCTCGAGACCCTCAGCCTCCTGCCCGGACCGCCGCCCGCCGACCACCTGGCCGCCCTGCTCCAGGGCCACGCCCGCACCCTGCGGCAGCTCACCGCCGAGCTCGGGTCGCAGCCCGTGACGATGCCGATGACCGATGCTAGCCCAGCAGGCCCTGCTGCGGCTGACTTCTGGCCCTGTGACGCGGGCCTGCCATATGGGCTCGCTGCGGTGGTGGCCCGACTGGAGGAACTGGAGGTGAGACTGCGCGGAACTGGACGATGCGGGCCTGCTCGATGTGCGAGCGGATCACCTAGGTCGACGATCTGGCTGCCGCCGCGCCGGGTCTTAAGCTGGTCGACCTGCACGACCTGCCCAACCTTCCCGACGGCGACATCCTCGCCAGTACTCGCTCCACCACCACCCACCACGTTATGCTGAGGTCACGCCTGAATGCTGCGCAGGAGCGCCCAATCTGCACGAGCTGCGGGTCTCGAACTGCGGCTGGCCCTCTGCGCAAGCGGCACTCGACTTGACTGGTGGGCGGCGAGCTGCAGCCGGCTGGAAGTGGTCGAGCTCACCGTCGAGATGGCCCGGCTCGAACTGTCCGAGCTGCCCCGACTGCGCGCGCTGCTCATCGAAAGCAGCGGCTTGGCGCCGGTGTCAGTCGCCTACTGTGGACGGCTGGAGACCCTGAAGCTGCGGGGCCTCGAGGTCGAACTCGACCTGCGGCTGGTCGGCTGTGAGGCCCTGCGCAGCGTCACGGTCGGCGGCTCCAAAGCGCTGGGCGCGGCGCACACTGCGCTCAAGACCTGCCCTACGCTGGCTCGTCTCACGGTTCGTCCATCGTGAGCGTCGTTGTACTCCAACAGCCACTCCACCTGGAACACGACACGTCACGATCAACGACACGACACACAGCTGCTATCAAGCGCGTGTTCGATACATGCGCTGCTGGCTCTGGCACAGCGGTGGTGCCCCGAGCTCCAGTACCTTCAGTTCAATGCCGTCGCCGTCTCCCCGCCCTTCGACCCCGCAGCCCACCACGTCAACGAGGGCCAGGTGCCGAAGAAGAAGCCCGCCCAAGCCCTGGCCTGCCCGAATCACTGACCAAACGGAGAAGAGGATTGTATCTGGTGCACGTTCATTCGTTCGGTCATAAAACGAACTATTGAATATTGACAACACTGGTTTCAGCTGGAGTCGGCGTTGGGCTGAGTGGTGAGCACGACGCGGTACCGCGCCTTGTTGTCGCGCACCATCTGGATGCCGTCGTTGACGCGATCGAGCGGCAGGGTGTTCACCCATGCGCGCACGTCGTGGGCGGCGGCCACGGCCAGCGTCTCCTCCACCTCCGTCCGGCTGCCGATGAGGCTGCCCACGATCGACTTCTGCCCGACGAGCAGCGGACCCGGCCGGCACCGTCAGCGGCTTGTCCGGCGCGGCCAACAGGATCAACTGTGTTGACATGTTCACAATTCTCTGTGTGAGCGACACTCACAGCATAGTCCCATTTCATGAATTGAGGTGTGTACCTTGCCGCCCACGTCGAGCAGGGAGAGCATGCGGCCCCAGTCGTTGTCGTTCTGGTCGGTGGTGATGACCACGATGTCGAGCGAGCCGGCGGCGGCCTTGATGGCCTCGTCGTTGTTGAACAGGAGGAACTTGGTGGCGCCGAGCTTGGTGGCCTCGGCCTCCTTGCTGGGCGACGTCGAGATGGCGGTCACCTCGGCCCCGAGCGCGGCGCTGAACTGGAGGGCCAGGTGGCCCAGGCCGCCGATGCCGATGACGCCCACGCGGGTGCCCTTGGTCACGCCAAAGCGCTTGAGCGGGGCGAAGGTGGTCACGCCGGCGCACAGGAGCGGCGCTGCCTGCTCCGAGAGCAGCCTGTCGGGAATGCGGAAGGTGTAGTGGTGCGACACGCGCACGCGCTCGGCGTAGCCGCCGTAGGCCACCGCGCCGTCGGCGTACTTGGCGTTGTAGGTGAAGACCCGCCTCGGGCAGCAGTTGTCGAGGTGCGCGCTGCAGTTGCGGCAGCTGGGCTCCTGGCACGACCACACCTGCGCGCCGACGCCCACTCGGTCGCCGGCCTTCAGGCTCGTCACCTTGGGTCCGACGGCCACCACTTCGCCGATGATCTCGTGCCCAGGCACGACTGCACCGCAGGCGCGATTGGTTAGTGTGAACGTTCGTTCTGGGCCTTAACTAATGCTGACGTGTCAAGGGGAGATAGCAATGCTGACGTGTCAAGAAGAGAGAGGGGCGCACCAGGGTAGAGGGAGGGACCCCAGCCCGAGTCAATGGTGTGCAGGTCGGAGCTGCAGATACCGCAGTGGGTGATGCGGATGTCGACGTCCTCTTCGCCGAGCGGGCGCGGAGTGTAGGTGAACGGCTTCAGCTGCCCTTTGGCCTCGAACGCGGCGAAGGCCTTGATTTCGTCGGTGTGGTAGTGGGTGGTGCTCATTGTGGAATGTGGGAGTGATTGTCGATGTTGTATTCACACTTGAGCTTTGGTCTGCCAAGCCTGCGCGTTCTGCTTTTTGTAGTTACCTGCTCGCTGCTCCGAGCCGGCGATAAACGATAACGGAGAACCGGCGTCGGTACTTACGCCGTCCACTTGCGCAATTCCTATATTGTTTGCGAGACGATTGTCGACCGTGGTGTACTCGTATCCTTCTGATTGGTTGCCTTGTCGACATCAGGAGCTGTTTTCATTGGCGCAATCTTCACTGTTCCGGTGTGCGGCTAGTGGCGGAACCAACTTCCATGGCCGGACAAGCAAACGTTCATGCCAGATTCAATAAACAAGCTAGCGGGGCCATGACCTCAACCGCCAAACAAGAGCTATCCTTGGTTGGTTGGGGAAATGATAATTATTATTATCCAAGATCGGAGAACCTCAAGTGGCGGCGCCGATGCTGGTGGTGATGGCCGTGAGGCCCGCCTTGAGCTTGGCGTGCAGGGAGCGATTGATTTCGAAGATGAACGCTATCTGTCGCACCTATTACACGTGAGTTCTTGCCGTGAGTTTTACGAGCCTGTGGTGCGAACGCAACAACAACAACAACAACAACAACAGCTGATGAGGATACCTCGACGAGACAACAGTGCGTGAGGCGCATTCGCTTCCCGGTGGGAACGGATCGCCCGTTGACGAAGATGGTGGCTCGCCCCACGTTGTGCACATAGAACTCCCCGTCCCGCTTCAGCTTGATCACCGCCTGCAACATTGCAACATGCACGTGGCACACGACACGCAACACAAAACATGAAACGACCAACGACACGACACACGGTCAGTAAATCAGGAAGACACATTGGAGGAGGCCAATCCATGGAGGGTGTTGGGGTTGAACCTGTCGTCGTGATATCTTCGCTGCGTCGCCCTCCTCGGAGAGATCCACATCCACGACCGCATCGCCGGCCGTGCGGCCCAGCACGATCTGCAATGACGATGCACGATGCTGACGTCAGCATAACCGGTGGACAACAGAACACACACACACACACACACACAGCAGACCATGACCCGTACCTCTTTGCTCTTCATTTCGTAGCGGAGGTAGCGACCGCGCAGGAGGGCCAGCATCTTGAGCTTCTTCTCTGTGATCAGCTTCAGCTCGTTCTCCACCCGCAGGATCTGATCCTGCACCCGCTCTCCCTCCCGCCAGTAGGCTATAGTAGGGACGCGGTGATGCGATAGTGAGTGTCTGGGCTCGCTGGCAGCGGCGAGGTGGGGGAGGGGAGGGGTTTACCTTCCTTGCGGGCGATGCGGCTGAAGAAATCGAGGGTGGAGTGAGGCACGGCCGCCAGCAGCTTCGCCTCCATCTCGGAAAAGCGGAGCCCGTCCAATTCTTCACATAACAGACGAGCGTGAGCACGCGACACACATCACACACACGCACGCACACACACGACAGCGCCCGATAAAGCACACAGGCATTACCTTCAGTTGTAAAGGAGATAGGAACAGAGGTGGAGGTGGAGGCAGAGGTGGAGGCAGAAGAGGCCGTTGCGAAAGTTCCCGGAGGCGCGTGAGACGAGGCGTCGACCTCTGCCGTATTTTTCACCTGTGAAGGCCAGTTGGTACGGATGGTGGTGGTAGGAGAAGGTGGTGCGGCGTACCTCTGCGGGCGGGAGCTCGTGGGGCTTATCCGGGCTGGCCACGTGCGGTGGCCGTTGCTCCAAGTAGGCCAACAGCGGCAGGTCAAACTCGATCTCGGCCAGCCGGGCAGCGCACGCCCTAAGAATTCGCGTAAAAACCGTGACACGCGCAAAAGTCAGCATCTGCGTGTGCGTGTGCGTGTGCGTGTCGTAGGAGTGGTGGACATACTCGGCGGTGGGCTGGTCGTAGAGGATCGCGTGCCAGCGGGCCTTGATCTCCTCGGCCGTGAAGTGGTTCGTCAAGTACCCCTTCCGCACCACGTCTTCGATCGAAGACGAAGCCTTGGCGATTTCAAGAAAAGAAAAGCAAAGAAAAGAATGAAAAACAACCACCAAAGTCAGCCATAAACTGAGCTGAGGAGTGGGTTGGGGTTGGGCGGGGGAAAGTACTTGGATGGCGGCGAGCAGGATGGCATCATCGATGTCGGTCCACTCGTGCACCATGGTGAAGTCCTCGCCGCAGCCGCCGACGTCGTTGTCGCTGTCCTCACCATTGCCGGCACCGTGCGGTACCACACCGGTGCCGGCGATGGCGGTGGTGTTGGCCCGTGGCTTTCCGTTCCTGGCCTCGCTCAGCGACTTGACGAGCGAATTGGTGGTGCGCTTCCTCGGCGCCTTTGGTGCGCTGCCGTCGGGTCCGTGCGCCGCCTCGCGCTTGATCCGCTGAACCGACTGCGGCGCACTGCCGGTGTCAGTGGCAGGGGCAGTGGCAGCGGGCGGCACACCGGTTGATGGTTCGCTGCCTGACGAGGGCGGCGGCGATGGCATTCTAGGCGACACTGCACCACGACAAAAACACCAAAAGAACGAAAACGAAAAGCGAAGGCGTCAACAACACGCCGAAGAAATCACCAGGCACGGATGGAGTGTTCCGGGCGTACTGATCGAGGGGTACGCCTCCAATTGGGGCAGCGGAATCTCTGCGCCCGACCGCTGCGGCGATGTCCGCCGTTGTGGCCGCTGCTGCTGCTGAGTCGTCGCAGCGCGATGCTCATCGGATCGCCAAAGTCGCAGGTATTGCTTGATGTCGCCGAGACTGACGCGACCGAAGCTGATGCTGGCGCTGGCAATGATAGCGACGATGGCCCCAGTGGCACTACGCCGTGGGCCGGATCGCTCGGCGACGGCTGCGCGTGCGACGGCTGCGATGGGTAGGTGTGGCGCGACGGGGAGGGCGTCGAGGCGGAGAGCGGGTAGGGCGAGTAGCTGGCGTAGTAGTACGGCGGGTAGGTGTGGGTCGACGATGATGGCGTGGACGGGTTGTTACCCGGGGACGCGTAGGACGACGCAGCATAGCCGTAGCCGGGCGACGATGATGACGCGGACGGCGGTCCTGCGGCGTAGGGCGAGTAGTAGCTCGACGCCGCCGGCGGTGGCGGAGCTGCACCGGTCGTCGATGACGGGCCGTAGCCGCCGCCGTAGGTCGTTGCCGACATCGATGACGACGGCGGGAACGGCGAAGGTGATGATGAAGACGAAGGCGCGTACGTCATGGAGTAGGCCGGCGCGGAGAGCGAAAGCGACGAAGAAGAGCCCATGGGCTGAGGCGATAATAATGAAGGCGATGATGAAGATGAAGATGAAGGAGGAGACAGGTGAGATGGTTGCTGTTGGGAGCTGAGCGACGGAGAAAGAGACTGAGAAGGAGGAAGAGTGGCAGCCTGGTGGGTGGCCGCGGACCGTCGGGTCGATGATCGCGGTGTGGCGGGAACCGCGCGGAACGACGAGTAGTAGTGGGCGTAGCTGCCCCCCGGCTGCGCGTGCGGCGGCACGATCGGTGCCGACGCCGGGCGCGGCTGGTAGGAGAACGACGGCGACTGCACGTAGGCCGACATGGGCGGCGGCGCCGGCGACGACCCGGAGGAACCGCTGGCGTATGCCGGGTGCGGCGTGGGATAGGGCGGATAGGGCGACGCCGCCGACGAGCGCGAGCTGGCCGACGAGCCGTAGACCGCGTGGCTATAGGGCATCGACGACGACGGTGGTGACGTGGCGTAGGCAGGGAGGTGAGGGGATGACGACGACATGCCGCCGTACATGGGCGACGACGCGCTGGACGAGGGCGCGGTGTAGGACGAGGGCGGCGACGAGAGGTGCGGGCTCGAGGAGGAGGTGGCGTTGGCTGGAATGTAGGGCGACGACGAGCCGCCGCTGTACATGGGCATGGAGGTGGTTGAAGAAGGCGAAGAAGAGGGGATGGGCGTCGATGAACTCAGGCGGTAGTGGTAGTAGCTCGACGACGGCACCCCGCCGGAGCTGGTGTCCATGATGACAGGCGATGGCGTTCCGTGCTCGGGCCCCGAGGTCGGTGGTGCGGCTGGGGACAAAGATGAAGAGGAAGATGAAGAGGATGAAGCTCTCGCGTAGGCGGAGGGTGGGGCGAGGTAGAGCGTGCCGGCGGCAAGGGAGCGCGGCGAGAGGGTGGGTGGAGGCGAAGATGACCTGGAAGGGATGGAGATGGGGATGGAGGTGGAGGTGGAGGTGGAGGGAGAGGATGGTGGTGCCTTTCGGGCAGCAGGGCGACGTCGCTTCTTGTTGGGCTGTTGCTGATCGTTGGTGGCTTGAGGAGATGGCCCTGATGAAGGATACTCCTTCTCTGCATTCGACAGGGATGGGTCACCCATTTGCTCTTGCGCATCAGCATGTAGATTCGATGGAGGAACTGCAGATGATGCGGCATCGTCGCCAGCCAGACGCGCTACGTTGTTTCCATCATCTTTCAACGTAGCGGTAGAAATCGCAATCTGTTGGCTACTTCGCGTCCGCTTCGCAATTCGACGCGGCTTCGAAGCGGTGGTTGTCGATCGATCGCCCCCTGCAGCCCCATCCCCATCTTCCATCTTCCTCCGATTAACGATTAATGCCCAGGACTCCTTGTCGCCCAGTTGTCACCAGTCCGCAGTAGAACTGTCGACGGCCCTACAATCAAAATCGAAATCGAAATCGGAATCGAAATCAAATCGGTGATCTCTGTCTTGAACTCGTTCGCAGTGCGCACCCAAGCCAAGAATCAAGAATCGCTGCACGACTCCATTCAGCCCATTCTTTCTTCTCTTGCATCAGATTGCGCGCTACACAATATGCAGCTGCGCCGCACAGACGACGCGAATGCGAAGGATGGGGAGTGGGGCGAGGAGGTGGCCGCGGGTGAGGAAGAGGAAGAAGAGGATTACGAGGGCGACGTGGATTTCGGCGCGCGTGAGGGCGTCATGCGACCAGCCACCGGGGACACCGCGCTCGAGTTCGACTGGAAGAGCGCCCTCCACAAGGCCGGCGTCTCCGGCGTCGGCTTCCTCTCCGACGCCTATGACCTGTACGCCTGCGGTGTGTGTGCGGCGTGTGCGGCGTGTGTGTGCGGTGCGTGCGGTGCGTGCGGCGTGTAGTGTGCAGTGTGTGCGGTGATGTATGTTAGGAGAGCTCAACGCGTTGTGATGATGTGTGCAGGTTCGTGATCAACATCGTGCTGCTCATCCTGTCGGTCACGCACGGCATCTCGGCGGCCGACAAGGCTGGATCTCGTCCGCCGTGCTCGTCGGCGCCCTCTTCGGGCAGATTGGCTTCGGCTTTATCGCCGACAAGGTCCCTTCATTCCTTCTTTTCCTCTTCTCCGTCGTTACCGTCCAACTCAAGTGTGTGCGGTGTGCGGTGTGCGGTGTGTGCGGTGTGTGCAGATCGGGCGCAAGAAGGGATTCGTGGCGACGCTGTCGCTGGTCATCCTGGGCACGCTGGCCAGCGCGCTGGCCTTCCCCGTGGGGCCGATCTCCATCGCGGCCGTGCTGGCCGTGCTGCGATTCGTGCTGGGCATCGGCATCGGCGGCGAGTACCCGCTCTCCGCCACCATCACCGGTTCCTCCCCTTTACCCCAACGTTTTTGCCCGATAACTGCTTCTCACTGACAGCAACACGACACGACACGACATAGCCGAGTCGGCGGAGACGAGCTCGCGAGGCAGGCTTACGGCGGCAGTGTTCTCGATGCAGGGCGTGGGCGCGCTCACGGCCGCCGTGGTCTCCTGGGCCGCCCTCCAGCTCCTGTCGGACCTCGACCTCGCCTGGCGCGTGTGCATCGCCTTCGGCGCCGTACCCGGCCTACTCACCTTCTACTTCCGGTAGCACACACCGCACACGCCGCCACCGCACACACGCACACGACTGCACACGCACACACGACCGCACACGCACGCACACACTGACACGAGTCATTGCTTGGGCTGCAGGCTGACGATGCACGAGACGCAGCGATTCGAGATAGCTGCGGCGCAGGGCGGCGGCGCTCCGGCGGCCAGCCGCTGGGCGCTGCTGCGGCGGTACTGGCGGCGGCTGGTGGGCACGGCAGGCACCTGGTTTCTGCTCGACATCACCTTCTACGCCAACGGCCTCTTCTCCGCCCAGGTGCTCGAGATGTCCGGCATCGGCGGCAGCGGCTCGAAGAGCGGTCAGCCGCCCACGCTCGACGAGCTGATCACCATCAGCCGATTCAACATCATTCTGGCGCTGGCCGCGGTGCCGGGCTACTGGACCGCCGTCTACCTCATCGAGACCCGCCTCGGCCGCAAGTCCCTCCAGGTGCTGGGCTTTCTCCTCATGGCCATCCTCTACTGCGTCATGGCGGTGGCCTTCGAGGGCATCAAGTCCATGTACGGCGTGTTCGTGACGCTCTACGCGCTGTCGTTCTTCTTCACCAACGCGGGACCCAACACGACGACGTACGTGCTCGCGGCGGAGAGCTTCCCGACCGAGGTGCGCGCCACGCTGCACGGCATCTCGGCCGCCGCCGGCAAGCTCGGCGCCGCCCTCGGCGCAGGTACCTGGCCCGCCGCGCCACTCATTCACCCGAGTCACACGACACTAACACGCACGACACGACACACACGACACACACGACACACGCGTGGCACGACACACAGTGGTGATGGCGAACGTGCTGGAGGCGTGGGGCCTGCGGGTGGTGTTCCTGGTGTGCGGGGTGGTGGCGTCGCTGGGCGCCGTGGTGACGATCGCGTGCATCGACGAGACGGTGGGCAAGAGCCTCGAGCAGATCAACGCCCCACCGGTCGAGATCGAGCTCCAGCAGTTCTCCTCGGTCCCCACGCACATCATCGGCAGCGACGACGACGACGACGATCAGCTCTGAGCCCTTCTACATCATCATCATCATCGTCATCATGACCACCACCACTTGAGAAGCAGAACACCACTACAGCAGAGAGCGACAGATGTATGCTCTTCCTCCTCTTCATGTTGTTTTATTATTTATTTGAATACAGCTTGGCTACACTTGTTGTAGAGGCACAAACCCCTTCTTCTTCATCTTCTTCTTCTTTTTCTTGATGTCGTCGGGTGTGTTGTTGCTGTTGTTGAAGACGACGATGATGATGGCGGACATGAAGACGGAGACGACTTGGATGAGGGCCTCGGGCAGGATCGGTGCCGCGGTGATCTGGTGCCCGAGGAAGGCGCCCGTTCCAAGTAGGCGGGCCACGTTCTCGCACACGATGAAGCTCACCGTGTACCCGCCGCCACCAACCACCAGCACCACCAGCTGCTGAGCCAGGTTGAGGCTTCGCTTGCTGCTCTGCTCCTCATCGCCTTCTTCTTCTACTTCTTCTTCATCTTCTACACGTGTCCCCACTCGTGGTGTCGAAAGGGGAAGAACGAGAATGACGTAGAAGAGGACGAAGAAGACGGATGCGTAGGCGTAGAGGAGGCAGCGATAGAACGGCGCCTTGGCGAAGTAGTGGTTCACTACCCGGAAGATTTGTTTAGATTTGCAGATGAAAGATGAAAAGATGAAAAGATGAAAAAGATGAAAAAGATGAAATGGCCAGTACCGACGTAGAAGCTGGCGCCGAGGAGGTGGACGAGGCCCAGCCGCCAGGTCTCGGACACTTGAAGGGAGGGCGCCACCATACGGAGGAGGAGCGACCACCCGAAGTAGAGAACGAGCCAGCCGGACCAGGCGCCGTAGGCCAGCTCGTAGAAGGCCGGCTCTTGGCCCTCCCACGACCTCCACAGCTGCTGCAGGGTGTCGGACATGTGTGTATGCTTGGAAAGTGGTTCAAGTTGAGACTGTGGGTCTGCAGTGTCGGGCCTTGATGATACCGAGGATATCGCACATTATTCTGCCTCGTTCATTCGGGCGTAAAAAGTGGTATAATGCACCAATGGCTGTTCGCCGTTGATCGCCCGGTTTACAGCGAAGAGGGCTCTCTCTTCGGCCTGTTCCGATAAGCGGAGTAGTGTCGTGTGTCGTGTTGTGTGCCGTGTTGTTTGTGTGCGGTGGTGCGTCAAAGAAGCAAGCTTACTATCTTTGTGAGTGCTCAGAGACACGCAGAACACAACATACACAAACATCAGAACGGGAACTTGCGCACTTCGTCGAGGGTCCAGTGCTGCTGGAGGGTGGCGGCGTGTAGGCTCTCCAACTCGTGCGCCATGTGGGTGAAGAGCACCTCGCGCAAGCCGTCCATGATGGCCCGCAGCTGCGCCGGGTCGTAGGCGCGCGTCTTTGTGCGCACGGCCTCCAGGTAGGCCACGTACTGGTCGAGCCCCGCGTCGATTGCCTTGTGCTCCGCCTGGTGGCCCTCCGACAATTCGGGCATCCGCACTGCCAGCTCTGTGTACACAGAAACGTATATAAGAGTTTACATACATATATGTAAAAAAGTTGATATATGTTTAAATGTCAACATATTTCAAAAGAATATGCTGGGGCGGAGCAAACCGGCAAACATTTGGTCTTCTGTGGTCTGGTGCAGGCGGAGGTTCTCCTCCAGCCCGATGGCATCGTGTATGAAGTAGCGGAAGTTCTTGTCGTCGGCCGCCGCCACCTGCTTGTCCGCCGCCTTTTCGACCGCACGACACGACACGACACGACACGACACGACACGCGCTCAAGTCAACACTCACGGACATTGGGGGGGAAATAAAGAGCAGGCGGTGGTGCGGTGCGTACATCGTAGATGCGGTTGAACTCGGCTTCGTAGTTGTCGTGATAGTTCTTCATGAGATCGTGCAGCCTGTTCCACTCGCCCCACTCCCCCTTCATCGCGTTCAAGCCTAACATCTCCTCTCCGCTTCTTCTTACCCACAAAAGAAGAAGAACAACAAAGAAATCTCCCCGACCTCGCTCCGAGAGGCCCGTGCACTCCGCTTTTTGCCGTGCCAACCACACGGAACCGGCACACAAGTGGTCTGATCATAAAACACGGTTTAAATTGTCTCCATTTCGCGCTGTGTGGATCGGTTGTAAGGTCGTACACGGGCGAAATACAAGAGGTGAGTGTTGAGAGGTGGCGGGTCCATCACCTCCTTCCTCCCTTCTTGCCCTTGGCGTTGCTCTTCTTCTTGGCGGCGGCGGTGTTTCCGGGCTTCTTGTTGTTGTTGCCGCCGGGGCCGCGCTTGATGTGGGCGTGGATCCGGGCCTCGATGGCGCACTTCTCGCAGCGACACTCGAACAGGTAGAGCTTCTCCAGCTGCCGCTGGCGCTGCTCGAACGGCGCCTCCTCATCAATGTACGAAAAGCACAGCTCATCACCCTGTCATCGCACGACACGACACACAAGGTAAGACTGAGACTGCGCTCACTGGGGTGTGTGTGTGTGTGTGTGAATACCTTCTTGATCTCGTTGATGGCGATGACGCGGATGAGGAACGAGTTGAAGCAGCTCACCACGATCACGTTGGGCGCGCAGCTGTGGTTCATCGAATTGGCAAACACAAACAGTCCCGACGCAGCTGCGTGTTGTGTGTGTCGTGTGCGGTGGTGCGTGTGCGTGTCGCGCGTCAGCACTTCAATTGTGCGGCGGAGCCGAGGGGAGGGGAGAAGCAACGCGTACCGCCAACGGTGAGATTGCGCATGATGGGACAGTCCAGGAATTCGTAGATGTTCTCGAACCTGAAGTCCTCGCCCTTCTTGCCCCCCTTGGGGCCTCCTGCCGGCGCGGCGACGGCCGTGTCCTTTTCCTTCTCCTTTTCTTTTCCCCTTGTCGCCGTCGGCGGCGGCGTCCTTGTCGCTCTCATCGCCGTCCTCTTCGTCTTCGAAGAGATGTCGGTTGATCGCCTCCAGCAGGGCCGGCTTGTCCTCGTCCGCCGCCTCGGCCAGGAAACTGTGCAGATCCGTCACTAGGGGAAGGGGGGGAGGAAGTGTCATTGTTGGTCGTGTGTGCGGTGCGTGTGTGCGGTGTGTGCGGTGTGTGCGGTGTGTGCGGTGTGTGCGGTGTGTGTGTGGTACCGGGGCACACGGTCTGGGCATTCCTCATGATGGCGCCGTTGAGCAGACGGAAGTGTTCGATGTTGACCACTGCGTACCCAAAGGACTGCGGTAAGTTATGCGGTAGGGGGGCACAGCAATTGGGCAAAATATACCCTGCGCGAATCGCATCTTGTCGGCCTGGGACATGTCCTTGAAGAGCTGCTGCTCGATGTAGCTCAGCGCCTGCGTGTCGTGCGGGAACTTCTCCTCGTTCGACACGAAGTTGGCGAACGGCGCGAAAGCCTTTGAGTCGCCGCCGCCGCCGCCGGTGATCACAACGACAACAAACCCGGCCGGACGTCAGCTCACTAACATGGAAGCCAGCGGCGCTGGGAGATTGGGGAGAATGAGGTAAGGTACCATGCGGGGATCTTCGTTGGTGGCCTGGACGCGTTGCACGATCATCGCGAAGATGCGCGCAATCATCAGCGGATTCGTGCGCTCACACTCGCTGCACGCGCGCAAGTGTGCGAGTCAGTCAGTCAGACATGACACACACACGCACACAACACACACACAGCACACACACACACGATGCCCACGGGGTACGAGGAGGTTTGTGGCGGGTCATGGTACCTGGCGAGGGCTTCGAGCTTGAGCATCGGGTGGTCGGCCGAAGGGTCCTGGCCCACGCAGAGGGACTTGTGGAAGTGCGCCCAGGCCACCTGCACGCCGCGTCCATGTGAGCCGAACCCACCGCGTGTCGTGTGCCGTCGTGTCGTGTGTCGTTGGTCGTGTCGTGTCGCAAAAGACCGCGCACCTTGCGGCACTCTTCGGAACAGTAGTGCTCATCTTCGCAGTGCTCGCAATCGACCCCTTCGGGCACGCCCTCGGTGTAGATGGCCTGCGAAAGTTATTTTGTTATTAAATATAATAAATAATAAATAATAAATACAATATAAATATAAATATCGAGAGCTGAGGGGGATGGGCGCACCTTGTGGATGGCATCGGACAGGGGGAAGCGGTCCTTGGGCAGCGAGCAGCGCAGGCAGTAGGCGCAGCCTTCGATGTCCTCCTGCGGCAGCTCCTGGTGTATGCGAGAGTGAAGAATCCAAAGTAGTTAAGAGTGATGCTGGTTGGGTGAACTAAGCAGCAGCAATGACAGGAATGTACCTTCTCCTCACCACCTTCCTCCGCTTCGGGCTTGGCCACGATCTTGTGCGACACGAGCGGCGACTGCAACCCCGAACCCGCCGCAGTGAGTTTCTACAAACGAAACGAAACAGAAACGAAACAAAACGAAACGAAAACGAAGCGCGTGTGGCGCGGTGCCTCGATGAAGACGCTCTGGCCAGGCGTGTAGTCCATCTCGGCGAAGACGCCCTACGAACAGGACGGGGACAAGACACAGTGGCAGAGTGAGCTTACGAGTGACGAGAGAGCCTGAAGGGGAGCCCCTTCAGCGTGCGGGGGTGCCAGGGTACCTTGCCCCTCTCGGCGTTGATGTGGCGGACCTCCACGCTGCCGTCCTTCAAGAAGATGCTCTTGACCGAGTCATGGTACGACTCTGACCAACGAAGCGCGTAAGCATGAACATCGTCATCACCATTGTCATCATCATTGTCATCATTGACGACATCATCGTCGGCGCAGTCAACTAGCAAGGAAAGTGGTGCCGGAGGTGGTACGTACTGGTGTAGGCGGCCTCGGCTTGGGCCAGGCCCTCGACGAAGAGCTGCGTCTTGGGCGACAGGGCGAGCGCCTGTGCGAACGAGTTGCGTGCGTCCCAGGCGCGTCCGACGGCCAACAGAGCACTGCCGTGGTGATAATAGCCCTATAAAATGTTTATAATTAATTAATTATTTTATTTATTTATCTTTCTATTTAAAATCGCAGCGTTGAGCGATGAATTTATGGCGTAAAATGATGTTAATTACGAATTAAATAAATGATCGCCAAAATGTTGATTGATGGCAGAAATTAAATCTAATCAGATCTGCGGAAATGAAAGAGCAGAGGGAACCTTGGCCCAGCGCGGATCGTGGGAGACGGCGTAGCAGGCATCAAGGAGGGCGGCCTCGGGCTGTTCCATCTTGATCAGCACGGTGCTGCGGCCACCGAACAGCGGCGCCGCGGCGGGCGTGGGCGGCGGCAGCTCCTGGTCATCTTCATCCTCCGCCGGGGGCGGCGGGAGGACCAGCGCCAGCGCCTCGGCGTAGAGGGTGAGCGCCTTGCGGAGCGACTCCTCGCTGCCCTTCTCCGTCTCGGCCTCGGCCTCGGTCCGCAGCTGCTTCACCCGCTGCTGCACCTTCTGCTGCGACAGTTTGGTCGTAGTCGCCGCGGCCGCGGCGGTGGTGGCCTCACCGGCCACTGGTGCCAGCTGCTGCTCTGCGTTGCCGGACTCCATCTTCAACAGAACAACGAAAAGAGAGGAAAACAAATCGTAGAGAAAGTGATCTTTTTATTTTCATTTTATATTTTTGATTGCAATTCAAAAAGATGGAGGCGGAAGAGGAGCGAGAGCAGATGGATGTGGAGGAGGAGGAGGAGGGATCCGAGGTCTCTTCTGGTGAAGAAGACGAAGCGGGCGAAGAGGAGACTGCCAAGAAGGTGCGGATCTTCAGCCCATTTCACATTAGGTTTTATTTATTGATTGAATTATTTTCGACTGTGGTGCAGGGGCCGCTGCAGAAGGTGGAGTTCAGCGCCGAGGAGGAGCGGCTGCGATTTTTGCTGGAGCTCGAGTTCGTGCAGACGCTCGCCAACCCCAACTACCTCCACTGTACCGCCCTCGCCCACGTCTGCTCCTTGTGCGTCTGGTGCCCGCGTCCATCCTCTGACCCTCACCACCGCACACGCACGCAACACGGCACACGGCACACGCAAAAGGGCTGGCCACGAATCGATACTTCCAGGACAAGGCGTTCCTGAACTACCTCAAGTACCTCAACTACTGGCGACAGCCCCAGTACGCCAAGTTCATTGTGTATGCCTCCTTCCCAAGCTGCGTGTGCGGTGGTGCGCGCGATGTGTGCGTGTGCGATGTGTGCGTGGCGGTGGTGCGTGTGCGGTTCCAACGCGTGTGCGGTTGCATTTCCCAGGTACCCGTACTGCCTCCACTTCCTGGAGCTGGTGCAGCACGAGCAGTTCCAGACGGAGCTCCTCAATCCCAAGTTCGCCGAATACATCCACTCCAACACCTTCTACCACTGGCGGGACTACAAGAAGAACCGGTCCGCCTCCCTCTCTCCGCCGTGTGTGCGTGTGCGCGTGCGCGTGCGCTCACACCCCGGTGACGTGGGGTCATCAGATATCGGGACGCATACCTGGCCAAGCAGCAGAAGGCCGGCCAGGCAGCCTCGGCCGCTGCACCCGCCACCGAGTCCGCCGCCCCACAGTAACCACTCGAGTGTGTGTGTTGTGCGTGTGCGGTGTGATGCTGGTCTTCGTGTGCGGTGAAGTGAGTACATCATCAATCAGCAATAAATAGAAGAGAGAGAGAGAGAGGTTGGACTCAGAGGTGGAAGTTGGAGAGGAGGGAGAGGGTGTGGTTGTCGCTGGCCTTGAGCTCCTGGAGGAAGCGCTTGCTCTTCTCGTGGAGGAGGTAGAACGCGTCACGCGGCTCGCTCTCGCCGTCTTCGGTGCCCTCCTCCGCCTTGGCGCTTCGCCCATCGCCCTCCCGCTGCTTCGCCGACTCCTCCTTTCCCTTGCCTGATATCACCGCACGCACACCCCCCAGATGACACGACACACGACACGCACGGCACGACACGCAATGAGTGATGGAGCGAAGGTTCGAGTTTGTGTTGTGGTGATGTTGTACCGTCGGCGAGCTTCCGCAGCTCTTCTTCGTGCTCGGCGGCGGCAAGCCGACGTATGCGCTCCTCCTCGGTTTGGTCGTCCTCCATCGGCGGCGGCAGCACCACCGACGCGGCGGCGCTCGCGGCTGTTCCGGCAGCCTCGAGACGCGCCAACTCCTCCTCGACCGCGATCGGCGTGTACTCGGCCGCCGCCGGCACCACGTCGTCGTCCTCTCCGTCCCCGTCGCCCTGCCCGTCCTTGTCGTTGAAGAAGGCCTTGTACACCTAGTATTTATTTATTGTTAATAATCTAGAATAAATAAATCTAGTATTTATATTGATTATTATTAGCAAATAGAAATAGAAATAGAATAAATTAACAGAGTAAAAGAAGAGTGCGTACGTTGACTTCGTCTTGAAGGTCCTTTATCTTTTGCTGGGCGCCCTCCAATTCGTTCCACAGCATTTGGCCCTGTGTTCGTAGAGCCTCCTGCGCTTGCCCCAACCATAAACCAGAGCCGATCAGCCATTGTGCGTCTGTCGCGTGTGTCGTGTCGTGTCGTGTGCGTGTGTCGTGTGTCGTGTGTCGTGTGCCATATATGTGTGGCGTACGCACCTTTTCATTCCGCAGCCGCGTGATTTCCTCCTCGAGCCGCACCAGGCTGCCGTCCTTCCGCTGCTTCTCCTCCTCCTCCTTCTCCTTGAGGTCTGTCTCGTTCTTGGAGATGATCTGCATGATCTGCTGCTCGATCGGAATGACCGGCACGTCGCCCCCCTCCAGGCCCATCATTGTCGTCGCGTTGCCGTTGTGCATCTCCAGGTCGTAGGTGCTGCCCTCCCTGAACACGCCGCCGCGACGTGCGCCCGACATCGACTGCCGGCGCGGGTTGATCATGGTGGCCTGGTCCCTCCGGTCCGCGGGCGGCCTCGGTCGGCGCTGGTGGTGCTGCGTGGCCGCTCAGGCTTTGGGGGTTGAATGGGTCAGGAATGTACGGAATGTTATGTGTACATAAACGAAAAGGAGAGGAATGTATGGTATGCCTCGGGCGGCGAGGGCTGTGGGGTACCTCTGTGGAGGGTGAGAGACCGGCGAGATTGTAGAGCAGGCCGAGGAAGCCCTCCGATTGCTGCTTTGGCGGAGGCGTACGCGCGGGCTCTGCTTTGTTTCTGGTCATACGCGCGCGCGCACACACACACACACACACACACACACACACAATAAACGACGTGAGAATAGACGAAAAGTGAGGAGACGAGGAAGCGTGGCACGTACATGTTGACTTTGTGGGCGTTCCAGTAGTTGGGCATTTCGAGCCCGCTGTCCCGCAGGTCCAAATGAAAGCGCACCTGCCTGATCTGTACGAGCGCGTTGAGGGCCTGGTCGCACGTCGGCGAATGCGGCCAGAAGGGCGACTGCACCGATTTACCAAACATTTGGGAAAAGTTAACACGAATAATCTACGATATAATGAACAATAACCAACAATAACCAACAATAAATCAAATAAACATAATTAATAATTAATAATTAATAATAACGGGAGACGGGGCAGACCTGTTCGGTAAGGTGCTCGCGGCAAAGGGCGTCGTTCCATACGAGGCCATTCACCAGCTCACTCAGATTGCCTTCGTTCAAGCCCTGGTTGTGGTGGGGGAATTGATGATGCTTGAACACGCGCCATAATGCGAACAAAAACGGGCCACCAGAGAGTGCAAAGCAAGAGAGCCGGCACGTACCATGACGATGAAGAGGCGAGCTCGGCCATTGCTGGTGCGCGCAAGCTGCTTGATGTTGCGGATGATCTGGTCCGAGTCGGGAATGCACTCGTCCAAGTGCTGCGCGTGTGCGTGTCCGCATGCCATGCGATTAGGCGACGTCGGGGGAAGAGAGGTCTGGTCTGGTCAGCTGCGACGTACCTGCACCCAGTTCCAGTAGGTGGGCTTGCCGAAGAGGAAGGGCTTGAGGCCGTGCGTGAAGCACTGCTCGAGGGTGTAGCACAGGCGGGCCACGTGAGGGAACTGCACCGTCTTCACCGCCATTTCGGCTTCCTTCTTGTGCGTCAAGACTTCCTGTAAATAAATAAAGGGGAAATATTAAATATATAATTATAATACTGATAGAATGTTAAAAAAATCAAAAAATCAAAGAGAGTCGAGAGTCCTGGTGCCTCGCTGCAATGAATTAGCTATATTAATTGGATTTATTATGAGTTGGGCTTGAGTTGAATTAAAATCTGGGGGAGGTTGGGTACCGCGACGGCTTCATTGAGGGCCACTACAATGGCTGCAAGGGTAATGGCGAATGAATGGGCGTGAGGAAGAGAAAGAACGGAAAAGCGAAAGATTAAGATGAGCCGAATTGAATTGAAATTGAAATTGGCAGTGGTGCACACCATCCGCTGTAGGTTCCTCAGCGCTGAGCATGATGACGCGTCTACAGAGGGAGCTCTAACCAAAAGCGACGAAGTAGGCCGGAGGGCGGGAGGCGACCTTCAGCGCAACCAGCAAAACAGCAACCCCCCGTTGTACGCAAAACCACAACCCCAAACTGTTCTCCCTCTTTTTCCGTTTTCCGCCCCCCCCCGCTTACGCCACCACACCCGTACCAAACGCGCGCCGCCATCATCAAGCCAACACCACAAAGAGTTTGAACCACGGCACGTGCATTGGGAGCGTCCACATGATGAGCCACACTGCAGCCCTTTGGAAGACCTTATGTGATCAGCACTGCCGCCAGTAGTGACAGATCCCAGAAGCCAAGGACCAGAGAACAGCAGTCATTGTTCGCGCAGACAAGAGAGAGCACAAAGGTAAAAGGGGCAACAGGTAAGGCCGATCGGCCGGCTCGAGAAAGGACATGAAGCTGGGCGTGGATCCCCGCCACTTCAGCAGCACAATACCGAAATATGACACTTCATTGCTTGTCCCAAGCACGCAACAACGCGGCGTGTGTGGGCTTTCTTTTTTCCTTTTTTTCCAACGTTCGGCGTCTGCACCGGCCTTGTCGTGTTCGTGCTGCCTGGACCTTCTTCTCCGCTACCACCACCACCAGGCGACGACGCATCTACGTACGGCAGCCATAGCCAGGTAGGCCGCCGCTTGCGACTCACCCGCTTCAGTGCGCCGGCTAGAACCTTCGGCATTTCGCAACCGGACAGTGGCCTGTGTACGATTTTTGACACGCGATCGACCGTCCGCTGCTACGCTTCTTCTCCGCCTCTACGTGCGCCAGCTTCGCATCGGAGACGAGGCAATTCCGTTTTCCCAAAGCAGGCCGGCTCTACACGGCCTCGATTTGATTTAATTTCACACACAGCCCAGCTTCATCGCATTCATGGATCCTTCATCGTCGCGTTCTGCGCCGCCTGCCAAGGCCGCCACTACCTCCGATTTTCTTAGCGATTTATCGTTTCAGCTGCAACAGGAGGAAGAGGAGCTGCTGCAGATGGAGGCCTCCTTGCTCTCATCCACCAAGGAGTCCAAGATCGAGGCCGCCACCACCACCAGCGCCTGGCGGCCCGTCACCATCGCCGGTATCAGCACCACCAAGCAGCCTGCTGGCCCCGACGCCAACCACAAACAGATCTCCGTGAGCGACACCACCACCAAGCCGCCTGCCGCCAGCCCAGTGCCGATCGTGGAGTCCCAGGCGGACGAGCTGGCCCTGCTAAAGGCGGAGCTGGAGAAGCAGCGCCGTCAGCTGATCGACCTCCAACAGCTCAAGACCAAGAAGGCCGCCTCGCCGCCGCTAGCGTCTGCGGCCACAGCGCTCGACCTCAACGCCACACCGTCGCCGCCCGAGACCCCGGCCCGGTGCCGCCCATTCCCCGATATACGGCGCGTACACATTGGGGCTCACTCTTTACGCGTGTCGTGTGTGCCATGTATGTCGTGTGTCGTGTCGTGCCGCCGCACAAACACAGCGTCACGAACGACAAGCTGGCCGCGATCAACCGGGAGCAGGAGGAGATGCAGCGCGACATGGAAGAAATGACCAAGCTCATAAACGCCACCCAGGCCCCCTCTGCGTTGCTCTCGTCGCTTGCAGCCGACAAGCTCCTGGGCAGCTTCCCGGGCTTCTCGTTCACGCCGCAGCCGGTTTCCGTTGCCGTGCCCGGGCCTGCAGCTGCTACTGCAGCTGCTGCGGACACTTCGAACGACGTGCGGTTCCGCATCGTCGACAGCCGGCTGCAGGAGGACGAGCGCCTGCGCAAGGAGCGGGAGATGCGCGAGCGCATCCAGCAGCAGCTCGACAAGGAGAAGCGGGAGCGCGAGCAGCGAGACAAGGAGCGCGAGCAGGAAAGAGAGAAGGAGCGAACGAGAGAGAAGGCCAAGGAAAGGGAGCGCGAGCGGGAAAGAGAGAAGGAACGCGAACGCGAAAGAGAACGCGAAAGAGAGAAGGAAAGAGAAAAGGAAAGAGAGAAGGAAAGAGAGAAGGAGCGGGAGCGCGAACGGGAGAGGGAGAGGGAGAAAGAGCGCGAGCGCGAACGCGAGAAGGAGAAGGAGCGGGAGAGAGAAAGAGATAGAGAAAGAGAAGAGAGAAGGAGCGAGAACGCGAGCGCGAGCGAAAAGAACGCGAACGCGAAAAGGCGGAAAGAGAACGCGAGCGTGCGCTGCAACGAGAGAAGGAGCTCGAGCTCGAACGCGAACGCGAACGCGAGAAGGAAAGAGAACGCGAACGCGAGAAAGAGAAGGAGAAGGAGAAAGAACGGGAAGCGCAGCACCAAAAGCAGGCTCCGCAGCACACGATCGCGTCGGTGTTGACGGAGCTGCAGCTGGAGAAGTACCTCGCAATGTTCGAGGAGGAGGAGGTGGACTACCCGTCGTTCCTCCTGCTCGAGGAGAAGGACCTCGTCGACATGAGCGTCAAGATCGGCCCGCGCAAGAAGATTATGCGGAAGATCGAGTCGCTGCGCGCCGCCGCCGCCGCCGAAGCCACCCCGGCCGACGCGGCCAAGCCGGCGGCCCCGGCGGAGGACCACAGCGGCGCCGTCGCCGCAGCGCCGTCGGCGGAGGACGTACACAACAAGAAGCGGTCGAGGGACGAACGTGACGACCGGTCGTCGGCTTCGCGAGACCACGGCGGCGCGCGCGACGACGATCGGGAGGCGAAGAGGCGACGCGAGGAGAAGGACAAGCAGCAGCAGCGCGAGGCGGAGAAGGCGAGGGAGCGCGAGCGCGAGGACCGGGAGAAGAGGGAGAGGGAGCGCGAGCGCGAGAGGGAACGGGAGAGGGAGAAGGAAAAGGAGAAGGAGAGGGAGCGCGAGCGCGAACGAGAAAGAGAGAAGGAGAGAGAACGCGAAGACAAAGAGCGAAAGGAGAGGGAACGCGAACGCGAGCGAGAAAGAGAAAAGGAGAGGGAACGCGAGGAAAAGGAGAAGGCCGAGGCCGCTGCCGCTGCCGCTTCTGCCGCCGCCGCCGCCGCAGCGCAGCAGCAGGCCGGGCCGGGCCAGAAGGGCAACTACTGGGAGTACCAGGCCTTTGTCGACAGCCTCGAGAAGTTCGGCATGCTCACGGCCATGGCCCACGCCGGCCACCGGCCGCCTGTGCCCTTCCCCAACATGCTGCCGCCCTTCCCCAACATGCCGCCGCCGCCGTCGATCATGGCTGCCCTCCCGCCCATCCCCGCGCCGGTCTCTGCGGCGCCGCCGTCGGCCTTCATGGAGACGACGCGCATCGAGCCCATGGACGAGGACCGGGTCGTGGTCAAGCCCTCGGCGGTCTCTATTCCTGTCGACCGCGACGAGCCCTCGTCGTCATCGTCGTCGTCCCGTGGGCTCAGGCGCAGCGCCGAAAGAAGCAGCAGCAGCAGCAACCACAAGCGGAGCCGTCGCAGCCGCAGCCGCAGTCGGAGCCGGAGCCGGAGCCGATCGTCGGAACGGGGCCGACGACGCTCCAGTCGGTCGCCCAAGCGCGAGCGTCGTCGATCGGCGTCGCCTCCGCATCGGTCCAAGGAGAGCGGGTTCGACCGCAACCGGCGGCCGGAGAAGGAAAAGGAGAAGGAGCGCGAACGCGGTCGTGGCGGCAGCCCGGGTCACCGGACCGTCAACCGCGCGCCGCAGGGCGTCAGGCCCTCCCGCTCCATCTACGTCAGCCTCTCCTCCTGGCACCTCGTTGAACAGATTGCGAGTGCGCACCTTCCCTCCCTGTGCGTGTCGTGTCGTGTGCGTGTTGTGTGCCATCATGACTGATCCTACTCTTTTTTCCAGTGCGCTCGGGATGTCCGCCACACGCCGATGAGAACGAGCGGACCAAGTTTGTCGAACACATGCTCTGGACCGAGTTTGGCCGCTTCGGTACGTACATTGCACTCCCGCTTTTCAAGTGTGCGTGCGCGACCTCACCAACCACTCCTCCACCTCTCTCTCTCTCTCTCTATGCAGGCCACATCCTGAGCGTACGGGTTCTTGCCGGGCGCGACTACGGCTTCGTCAACTTCGACAAGGTAATCAATAATGGCTTCTCTTATTTGCGGTGTTCGCTCTCTTCGATCTTTTTTTCTCTTTCTCATAAGTCTTCGCTTCGTTCTTTGCCTTACGCACTCAGTTGTCGGACGCAACGCGCGCGTTCGGTGAGCTCTCTGGCAAACCGATCCTGGGCACCCCTATGATCACCATTGGTTATGGCCGGTACGGCACCGGAGGCGTCTCCAATGGCCCCTTCCGCAAGGATGCGATCAAACGCAAGTGAGTGTGATGTGCGTGCGCGCAATAAACTCACTCACTTTCTCTTTCTCTCTTTCTCCCTTCATTCTTCTTCTGTCCATTTCAGCAAGTGGAGTTGAGCCTGCCATTGTGGACCCACCAGACCCTTGGACCTGCCTGATGATGGCCTATCTCTTTCCAAGATGTTATAAATGTAATGCTACATTTATATTATGATCGACTCAAATGTGTGGAAATGGTGCAACCAACAACCAAACATGTGTGAGAGGTGTGAGCCCAACACCCACCTGTGCCACAAGTTCACTTCAAAAGAGTGAAAGGAGGAGAAAAGCGAAGGAAAATGAAGGCGAGATGAAAAAAGAGGTGGGAAATTCCGGCCGAAGGGAACGGGAATTGCGCGGTGCTACAGGAGTTGCGTTTTGTTCTACTTCTCTGTGCTGCTTCGATCATCGTCGGCAGATCATCGGCAACCATAAAGCCTTTAGAGCAAGGCGCACAGTACCAGAAGAGGAGCAACCCAACCCAATACTGTAAGAAGAGAAAGAGATACAGAGCAAGATGAATATGAATACTCTGCTGAAAGATTTTGTCAGTGACCTGGAGGGATATGCAGAGCAGCAGCAGCAGCAAAGCACATCATCGCCAGGGCTCGACAGAAAGAGGAAGGTGGACCATGCAGAGCCTGCCTTCGTCGACGAAGCTGCAGTCCCGCCCTCCAATGGAGACGACGATGCGGGCAAAATGAATCACCTCAAGAAGAGCCCAGAGAGCGACGACAACGATTCCGACCACCGAGGGCGCAAGGCCGTCAAATCGGGCAACAACCAAGATGACGATGATGAACAAGAAGATTCGTCGTCATCTACATCTACATCGCCCAATGACAGTGGGATGGACAAGCCCACCGAAGGCGAGGACCAAGATGAAGATGATGAAGTCGCCGAAGATGATGAAGCAGACGCCCCCACCGCCCGATCTCTAGAAGAGCCCACCGACGCGCAGCCGCCATCGCCGCCGCCGCTGCCGCTCCACCGGCACCGACCGTCGGCCGGCGCCCGCCGCACGTTCGACAACCTCATGGCCGACGCTGCAGACTCGAGCCCGTCGTCGACGCACCGCTCCACGGTGATCGCGGCCGTGGTCGTGTTCGACGGCGAGGGCCGCGTGCTGCTCGTGCAGGAGGCCAAGCCCAAGTGCCGCGGTTTGTGGTATCTGCCAGGTACGTGCGCACACGTGTGGGGTGTGTGCGGTGGTGCGTGTGTCGTGCGGTGGTGCGTGTGTGCGGTTTGTGCTGACGCGTGTGTGTGCGCACACATGCAGCGGGTCGGGTGGAGGTGGGCGAGTCACCGATCGAGGGCGCCATGCGCGAAGTGGAGGAGGAGTCGGGGCTGCAGCTGGAGCCGTCGGGCATCTTCTCGGTCGAGTACAAGATCAGCAAGCGCTCCGGCAAGGCCTGGATCCGATACGGCATCACCGGCCAAATCGTCGGCGGTTCCCTCAAGACCCCCGACAGGGTACTTACAACCAACAACCAACACGCACACGCACCACCGCACGACACACACCGCACGACACACCGCACACACCGCACGACACACCGCACACGGCCTGACTCTCGCGGGTCAATAGGAGGACAAGGAGAGTATCCAGGCGCGGTGGTTCCCGCTCGAGGAGGTCAACGAGTCGCTGGGGCTGCGCAACGACGACATGCTCAAGCTCATCGCCCTCCACCGGCAGAACGGCGACCGGCCCATCCCCGTACTCAGCTCCTACAAGTCGTAGGCCCACCACCAGCCACCACCTTCGTCGCAATGCTGGGAGAACATTTTGTGCGCATATTGTGCGGCCCTGTAAATACATCAACACTACGCAACACGATACGACACACGTGGAGGAACGACACGACACACGCGTGTGCGTGTGCGGTACAATTCATCAGAAGAAGCCGTCGACGTCGTCCACCAGGATGAGGAGGTAGTAGGTGTAGCTGTTGGGCGTCAGACCGTTGTCCTCCATCTCCTCCAGCGTCCTCCTCACCGCCCTGCATTTTATTAATTCCATATTTAATATTTAATATTTAACATTTTAATAGTAATAACATAAAATAATCAATTATTATGAATAAATAAATAAATAAATAATAAATGGAGGAATAATGTGTAGTGTACTCGGGATCCTTTCGTCGGAGGTAGGAGATCATCTTGGCGTGGTAGTAGTCCCGGTTGATCTTCCTGCCCGACCGGGCCAGCTTGCGCGTCAGGTCGCTCCACATCAGCTCGATGTCCGACGCCTGCGCCGCCGAGATGAATCATGTGTGCCGTGTCGTGTCGTTGGTCGTGTCGTGTTATGTTGCGTGTGTGCGTGTGGTCGTGTCGTGCTATGTTACGTGTGTGCGTGAAGGGTGATACCTGGAGCACATAGCCGCCGCACTTGAGGAAGGACAGGAAGGCCCTTTTCGAGGGCAGGAAGTGCGCCTTGCGCATATTGAGCGCCATCGCGAAGGCGCCCTCAAAGTTTCCTTTTTTATATATATATGTTCAATATATGAATATATGAATATGGGAAGATATTCTTAATAATAATAATAGATAATAATTGTGTTGATTAAATAGAAATAGAAATAAAAGATGACCGCGTACCGGCGTGCGAGTAGGACCGGATGAGTGAGTTGAAGGTGCCGGCGTGCACCCGGTGCGCGTTGGCCGCCAGGAAGACCATGAGCTGGCCGAGCCACATGAATCCGTGAGTTGTGTGTTGTGTGTGTGCGTGCGTGTCGTGTGTGTGTGTGTGTGCGTGCGTCGTGTGCGCGTGTCGCGCGGGTGTCGTACCTCTGCGGTGGAAGCGTATTTGGGGAGTAGGCGGAGGAGCGTGTTGGCCGAGCTCTCGGGCTTCCAGCCGTGCGTGCCCATCAACTTCTTCATCTGCTCAAACTCCTCCGGACCACTAACAACCCCCCACGACGCCGTGCGTGTCATGTCGTGCCATGTGTGCGGTGCGTGTCGTGTTGCGTGTCGTGTAGTGTGCGGCACCTGGCGGATTCGAGGAGGGCCTTCCAGGTGAGCTCGTTGCGCGGCACGTCGTGGGCGACCATCTCGTCGAGCAGGTTCTTGAGGCTCGGCAGCCGGCGCCCGCCCTTGCGGCCCACCACCGGCAGCAGCGCGTTGTAGGCCGCCGTCGTCACGTGGCCGCGTGCTTTCATCTCCTCAAACAGCTCCGCCACCTTAACCTCTCGCCCCGCACCAGCGTTGCTGACGTCAGCACCACCATTCTTGCTGCCGCTGACGTCATCACCAGCGTCGTCGGTCCGTCGCTGTGGGCGCGGCTGCGGCGGGCCAGCAGATCGATGAGCATGTGGAGGGCGCGGTGCGAGGGCAGCACATTGCGGCGCTCGACCAGCTCCAGGTAGAGTGCGGCCGCGTCGTCGGCCCGGCGTCGCAGGCAGTGGCCCTCGAGCAGCGCCGAATAGATGCGCTGCTGCCGCAGCTCGGCGCCGGTGGTGGTGGTGGCAGTGGCGATGTTAAGGTGGTGGCGGGCGATGGCGTCGGCGAGGTGGCCGCAGCCGCGGCGGCCCAGCTCGCGGATGGTGACGCAGTAGAGCGGCACCTCGGCTCGCGCGTTCAGGCCGGTGTCGCGCTTGAACGCCGCAATCTCCTCCTCCACCGCCTCGACCGACAGATCTGCTCTCTTACCGCACACACCGCACGCACCACACGCACACGACACACACGCACCGCACACACCGCACGCACGACACACACGCACCGCACACGATGAGTTATCGTCAAACCGGAGGCGGAGGAGTGTGTGCGCGACCTGCAGGGACGGTGCGGCCGGGCGCGAGTGACGGTAGAAGGAGCCGGCGCTGGGCCCAGGCCTGCGCTGCGGCGGCATCGGCGCCGTCGGCCGCGGCCGCGACCTGGGCGCGCTTGCGCTTGCTGCCGCTGCGGAGGACCACCTTGGCCAGGGCCACGTAGGCGCTGGAGAGCGGGCGCAATGTGGGCGTGGGCCGGCAGCGGAAGCGGAAGCGGTCCACCCACAACGTCTGCTGTGAGGTGGTGGTGGCGGCGTCGGCCGACGGCGACTGCCGCGCACTGCTCGCGAGCGAACGTGCCATGGAGACCGCACGGCCTGGGGCAGCTGCGGCCCACAAATCAAATTGGAATTGATAATATTATTATTATTGTTAATCTGTGATTTAATCAACGACATTACGTAGAGAGAAGTAAAGAAGTCTGTACCATTGTGGCAAGCGCTCAGGGCAGGCCGTGTCCCTCTTCGTAGCATCATCTTCACCCAGAACTGAAAATCGAAATAAATTGAGAAATTTATTTTCTTGTTTCTTGCGCCCAAGGAAGACACCGGTGAGTACACTCATTCCTTGGTGCTTGCCCTGGGGCTGCTGGCCCGCTTGCGGATGTGCTCATCAAACTTCTGCGACTCCTGCCCCAAGGACGTTGGGTTCACACCCCACAGATCTGATCAGTCGTGGCCTCCACAACCACAATAGCAACAAAGTGGAGAGGAAAGACGTCTGCAACAGAAAAAAACAACAACCAACCTTGAGGCGTTCAGAGACGACGTGCATGACGTGGTAGCGGATATTCTGGTACTGAGCAAGCAACGACTCGAAGCGATCTACGCACACGCACACGCACACGCACACGCACACGCACACGCACACAGAAACATCAGCACGTGGTCCAGGCAAACGCGAGCGCTGCCTTACGGGCACCGTACCTCGGTTGAGCTCCAGGAGCGTCGTGTCCTCGCAGGCGATGGCCGTTGCCGACCGCGGCAGGCCCTGGTGTGCCATTCATTACCTCAGATCAGCGCCTGCGTTGGCACTTCACTGTTTTCAAGGCGAGGCCGCGTACGGTGATGAGGGACATCTCGCCGAAGGAGTCGCCCACGCCCAGCCGCATGAACTCCACCGACGCATCATCGGCCGGCGCGTCTGTGTGGCCGGCTCAGGTGAGCTCTTTAAGGGAGCGGTCGACGCCAGCCGATACCTTAAAGAGAGAGGCATCAGGGCGGGGCGTACCGGGGTTGGTCTTCTCGAGGCGGATGGAGCCCTTGTAGATGAGGAAGAATGAGGGCTCGAGGTCGCCCTGCCTGAACACCACCTCGTTCTTGTGATAGACCCGCTCCCTCTGGAAACACACGTGCGTGAGCAAAGAACACACACCCGACCGCACACGCACACGTACGTCGTCGATGGAGGCGGCGATGGCCTCGAGCTGCTCGCCGTAGAGGCTGGAGAAGAGATAGGACCGACACAGGGAGCTGCACACGAACTGGCGGTACTTGCGCACCCGCTCCAGGTCGACTTCCACCGGCGTTGCGTGCACGTAGGCCAGCTCGGCCTGCTTCTGCGACTCACGGAACCTGCGCTCTCAAGTCAGTTCCACACACGCAACACGCAACACACACACACGACACACACCACACCACACCACACACACAACGTACATGGCGCTGGGCAGGGACAAGAGGGTGACGCCCGTGCGGGCGACTACGGTGGCGGTCCGCTTGGCCTGGTGGTCGCAGCCCAACGCGGACTCGCCGAAGAACTGGCCCCGCCCCAAAGACCGAACCAGCCGCCTCTGCTCGCCCTGCACCCGTGAACCTTCAGTAAACCAGGCATGTCGCGTATGTCGTGGTGTAGCATGTGTCGTGTCGTGTCGTCACGTGCGTGTCGTCGTGTGTCGTGTGTCGTGTGTCGTGTGTCGTGTGGTGTGTGTCGTGTCGTGCCTCTTCCTGGTAGACGTCGAGAACGCCAGCGACGATGAGATAGAAGCACGACGTGACTTCGCCTTCTCTGCAGTTGTAGTGGAAAAAAATGTGAGCAGTCGGCCTAAAAGAACGAAAGAAAGAACGAAATGCGAAACGGGGGAGGGGAGGAAAGGTGCACTGACTTGACGACGACGTCGCCCGGCTGGCGGGTCTCCTCGGTACACGCGGAGAAGAGGCGGGACACGCGCGCCGGGCTGAGGTTGCGGAAGTACCACACGTCGCAGAACATTCTGAACAGCAAGCTCGCGCGCGAGTAGCCCTCGGCATACTTGGACACCGCCAACGCCACCTGAGCCACGCCCAGCAAATGTCAGCGCACTCCAAGTCGAGACACGACACACACCACACACGGCTCGCGGCACGACACACCACACACGGACCGTTTCTTCGGTTTGTGGGCGCTTGAGGTGGGTGACTTTGACGCGCAGCTTGTTGCCCTCCGAGGTCTCGGTCTCCACGTACTCGGGGATGCCCGAGCAGTGCACGATGTACAGCTTCTTCTTGATGCTCTCCGGCAGGTTATTCAAATCTGTGCGTGTGCATGTGTGTGTGCGGTGGTGTGTGCGCGTGTGCGTGTGCGTGTGCGTGTGCGGTCAGGAAATGAACGGTAAAGAAGAGAAAGTGAGTGCGGGAGGGCCGGTGGTGCCTGATATGGCGGTGTGGATGGTGGGCACGCCCGACTCGTGGATGATCATGTCGGCATCGAACAGGAACATGCGGAGCGAGATCTCGCGCTGGTAGTTGATGATCCCTTGCGACACCAAACTCGCCAGAGCCTAAATAAAAACACAACAATAACAATTAACAATTAACAATTAACAATATTAAAAGCAATATAGAATCAGATTAAATATAATATTAGTTAATTAGTAAAATGTTACCTGCGGGTTGTAGTAGGTGTCGGAGGAGTAGGAGATGCTCTTGCCGAGGAACGAGAGCTTGAAGCGAACGGTGGGCACCGTGTGGAAGCTGTAGTCGAACTCGAACTCCGCCCCGTGGATGTTCACCTTGTCTCCGATCAGCACCGGCCTGCATTTTTTTTTCGCACGACACGCACACGCATGACACGACACGCGACACGCGACACGACCGCACACGCATGACACGACACGCACACCGTAATCTTTCAGGTAAGACAAACTTCAAGCAATGAACCTGTTGTGCGGCAGGTTAGGGGAGAGAACCTGAAGGTGTAGTATTCCCCTACGTCGGCCAAGCCGGTGATGGCGTTGACCTTGCGCTTGTAACTCTCGTTGACCGTTCTCGTCGTGTACAGCTCTATCTTCTCGCCTGGCGAACACAAGAAAAGGGCAACACTCGAATGAGCGCGAACAGTGCGTGTGATAGTGTGCATGCGTGCGTTGGTGCGTTGGTGCGTTGTGTGTGAGAGAGATAGGAGACCTTCGAGGATCATCTGGATCACGCCCGAGTCGTGGTCGCTGTGACAGTGCGTGAGTATCACCTTGGTCACGAAGCGATGGTGGATTCCCTAATAAAAACAACAAACAACAAACAAAGACGGCGGCGATTTAAATTGACCCTGAGACGACCGTGAGAGGGGGAAAGAAGGAGGGAGATGGGGCTTCGGTACGTACGTGGCGGCGAAGGAATCGGTGGTCTGCATGGGCGGATCGACCAGCACACCGTACCCGTTCAGCCAAATGATGAAACCCGTCGTTCGACCTGATGCGTGCAATGAGTCTTGTAAGTCAATCTCTTTCTCTCTCTCTCTCTGTGTGTGTGTGTGTGTGCGTGCGTGTGCGTGTGTGCGCGTGCGTGTGTGCGTGTCGTGTGTGCGTGTGCGTGTATCATGTGTTGCTGCGGGTGTGTGTGTGTGTGTGTGATGACACCGCGATATAGGGAGGAACCTTTGGCGTCGAATCCGTGGGAAGTGCCGATGAAGGTGATGCCAAACACCGGCGGCTCGAACGGCTCCAACACGGGAGCGGCCGCGTCGTCCGCCTTGTCGACACCGCTGCCGCCGCCATTCGTGCCGATCCGGTCGCTCGCGTTGGTCTCCATAATGCCGCCCAACACGCCGTCCTACCGCCCACAATGTTAATTCGTGTGCGGTGCGTGCGGGGAGTGCGGTGTGTGGTACATACCTCATAGACTCGAAGTAGATGGTTCCGCTGTACGACGCGGATCTGCACGGTCTTGGCCTCGCTGCTGTCCTGGCCTTCGTACTTGTGGGTGAAGTCGACCTCGCCGTTCTCATCGAACACCTTGAAGTCGGCAAAGTGGCTGAGCGGCGGCTGCTTTCCGCTCTTGTCTGCGCTCACGTGATCGAGTGAGGCCGCACAGCACCCCAACCACTCAAAAAAAAAAAAAAAAAAAGCATAAAAAGCCATTGATACCCTTGTAGGCGAGGAAACCACGCTCGGCCGTGAAGTCGACCTTGTAGCCCTCCGCCTTCTTGGCCTCTCCGATTTCGTCGTCCTGAAGACAAAATGTTATCATTGAAAATAAATAATACATAATAATACATAAATCATATAAACGTAATAAGTACGATAGTGTGAATAAGACGATAAAGTGAATAAGACTGGAGCGCAGGGCGTACGATGTAAAGGTGGTGTTCCTCGGGGCCAAACACCGACTCCTGGAAGGACACTCTGACCTTTTCCAACTGATCCTTGGTACCGATCATGATCACTGCCAGAGAGCATCACGTTCATCAGTTCATCAGAGTTTATCATGGGCGATGTTGTGCACACCAGGGTAACCACACTCACACATCATTGCACGCACCACCGCACACGCACGCATCACCACCGCACACGCACATACTGCGGAACGCACCTCGAAGGTCAGGGTTCTGGAACGCCTTCTTGATGAAGAAGTTGAAGTAGATGGGGAACTCGACTTCGCCAAAATTGACGGCGCCCATGAACAAGCGGGGAGGCAGCACGTAGATGTGCGGCACGGGCTGGCCCTGCACCACGGGAACCGCGCGTGGACAATGATGAGCACTCTTTACGTGTAACTACTCCAGCACACACGCACCACCGCACACGCACACGCAACGACGAAGTTAGGTACCTTGCTCATGTAGGTCTTGATGGTTTCGGGCGGGATGCCCACCTGCAGCAGACCAAAGGAGCCGTTGTACAAGTACACGCCTGACGTTCACACACACCACACACACACAGAGAGAGAGAGAGAGCGCGCGCGCGCGCGCAAAGGTGAGCTCCAGCGCGAGCGCGCGCATCCGGGCAATGATCTCGAACCTTTCTCCTCCGAGTTGAAGAAGTGGCCGCTCAAGTAAGGCTTGTCCTCGCCCAGTATTTGATAGCCCTACACCACCACACGGCACACGGCACACACACACACACACACGGCACATATGACACACACACACCATCGCACACGTCAGCACCAGTTGCTGCGGGCGTGAGTAAAACTGAACACACCTGGCTCTGGTCGGACTTGCTGGCCAGGTACTGCAGCGCGCGGGCCAGGAGCTCCTGACCTCCGGCGGACTCGCCCTGGAGGCTGCGCAGGCCGGCGAAGAAGTCGTTGGTGACCTGCACGCACCGCCGCACCGTGGCGTAGAGCGTGGGCAGGGTCGTGACCGAGGCCAGCTCCACCACTTCGGCAAAGTCCTGCACCAGGCCGTCCATGTTCTTCTCACCGCCCGCCGCCGCCGCAGCCGAGGGTGGTGCGATGGCCAGCGAGGCCGGGTCGGCGTGCCGCGCGAAGATGGCGGCGACGCGGTCGGTCACTCCCGCATCGTCGAGCACGAGCGATATCTTGGACGACAGGGCGAACACCTCGACGAACAGGTCGGCCAGCGGGCGCACCTTCTCTGCGGCGACGGCTCCCGCGGTCGTGGTCGTGGTTCCGCTCTGGTTGACGTCGAACGCGAGCTGGCGCAGGGAGCCGAGAAGCGCCGGCCAGTCCAGACCGCCGTGGTGCCGCGTCAAGAGCTGGCCCACCTCCTCCGCTGCACTGCTAACAATAAAAAATAGAAATAATTATTCAAAAATATATAATAATAACTGCTTCAGCACTAAAATAAAAACCACACGTAGAAGATGTTAGGTAATATATCATTGACACGGGTACCTTGCCAGGTGTGCCATTTTTGATGTATACTGGTGGTCTGTGTCGCCTGGAGTGAAGTGAAAGGAACAGACATGCACTTAAAAAAATTGGAAGGAAATCACATTTCTCGTTGGTTTTGTCTTTGCTTTGCGGGAGGGGTGGACCATTTGAAGAACTTTGCAGGGTGGTGCAGTACAAAGCTGATCACTGCTCTCTGAACTGCCCACAGCATAGCTGGAAGGCATGGTGCCAGGAGCCCAACAAGAAATAAGTCTAACCTTGAGGTGAGGCACAGGAGGCCTCACTACCAGAGATTAAGCTGATAAGAACAGATACTTCACATGATCTTAGCCACTAGGGCCGAGAAGATGTCTTCTTCCCAGCCACAGGGCAAGTTTTATACCCAACACCCACGCGGTTGAGTGGTGTGCATGAAAAAGGCGGGCTTTGGCGCAGAAAAAAGCGTGGTACATTCATTTACTTGATCAAAGTTGCAGACATATCCACACGTGGTTCCAGGCTTCAGCATCAATCAGTAGCGGCCATATGGCTCCTTGTCGTTCACAACGCCAACGTGCTCATACGTTTCTGCAGGAGGGCAACACAACAAAAGATTCAACAATCAATGGTTGAGGTTTGGGCAGGTGGGGGGTGACATACCCTCGGCCGGCGGTACCTTGGCCAGGAAGTAGGACACCAGCGTTTGCTTGGCCTGTAGCCCCGTAAAGGGAGGTCAGTCATGTGCCCTGGCGCGAGTAAGTGGTTCACCGGGTGGTGCGCCAGCGTAACGTACGGCGATGAAGAGCACGAGGTAGGAGAGGAAGCGGACGGCCGTAGTGTACTGGAAGCACAGCGGGCTGTCGGTCCACTGCTCGAGGTCAAACCACCTGCGCGGTTCCACACACCACACACAGACACACACCCGCGCGTTAGGCATCACAGCCTGTGTGACTGTTACTAACTGTTTAGACCGGTACGTACTGGATGCAGGGCGTGTAGGCCTGGTCCTCGAAGATGGAATAGAGCGGTACGGTGTAGGTGAACCAGGCGAGGCGGCCGAGCAGGCCGAGCAGGTTGAACAGGCCGACGAACGAGTTCTGCGCTCCGCCGCACCAGCCGTTTAGTGCGCCAAACTCGAGTGAGTGTGGCGGTGTGGAGGAATGCGTACGGCGATGAGGAAGTCCGGGTGGCGGGAAAGGCCGGCGTAGACACCGAACACGCCGGTGACACCCAGCTGGACGCCCCACTCCCAGGCCGGGGTGATGAAATAGGCCACGCTCGTCACCTAGAGCCGCCACCATGTCAGAGAAGAAACTCAACGATAGTAAGTGTTATCATTTTTCTGTATTAATAAGACATAAATAATCGTGCGTTGTACCGTTTGGAAGAAGGCGCACAGGATGAGAGACCACCGCACGAGGAAGGCCAGACGCTGTGCGCATGCAAGCGGTAAGCAACGTTGCATGAGTCGCAAGGGTGAGGGTGCACCTCATGTTGTAAAATTAGGTCCGAACAAAATAAAAGAACGAAGACGAAGAGGAACGAAGACGAGGTGGGGGGGGCGTACTTGGCCCTTCCAGTGAAGGAGAAGGGCAACGATGAGGAGGATGCCCAGGCAGGCAGTACCCACAATGGGAATCATGCCCCGCCTGAAGTTCGTCACCATATCCCCAAAGTCAGAAGCCGCCTCGGAACTCATCTTGGAGGTGATGCCGAGTCTAGTTGTGTTGTCTACGCGTAGTCGCACTCAGAAAAGGGACCACTTTTGTCTCAGGTCCGGAGGGAAAGTGAGAGCATTATTTCGAGGTCCGGCTTCGCTGAACGCCAGCGAAAGCGTGACCGCAATGTTCAACAGAGCACTCGTGTTGCCTTTCTCAACCGACCCAGGGCCACACCTGTGGGAAAATCGTCAGTCCTTGCCGCTGAGCTTGCGTTCGATCTTCTCGACTTCGTGCTTGCCGGTCTCCTTGGCGGAGTGCAGGGCGTCGGCGACCTGGTGCTCGACCCGCACGAACACCGAGTAGCCGTGCCACGCCGAAGACCCGGCGCCCACCGCCGCCAGGACGCCCGCCGGGTACAGCTTGCGCGTCCGCGCGAATCGGCTCCCCATCACGCCCGCCAGCGTCAGCGACGTGGCTGTGCGCGTGTGCGGTCGTGCGCGCGCGTGGTGCGTGTGCGTGTGTGTGTCGTGCACGTTAGGAAAGCCAAGAGAAGCGAGCGTATGCTTGTGGCGGTACCGAGGGCAATGGTGCGGCCAGAGGCGCTGGTGGCTGGGTCCTGGATGAGGTAACCGCCCACGCCGAACAGGGTGCCGAAGCCCAGACCTGCCAGCAAGCTGGATGGTGGGCAGACGCGGGGCACGATATAGATGAGCGAATGAGAGCTCAAATCAAAAGATGAAAGAGATGCAAGTGGAAAACAACAGTTGAATCGATGCACAGAGAACCAAACCTGGGAATGGATTTGGTGGCAGTGAATCCACGGATGCCCATGAGTGCCACCACGGCACCCACGCCAAACGTGGGCAGCGCCTCTGACACCGCTGCCGCTCTCCTCGAATCCGCCTTGTTCGACATCTTTGTTTTTTTTTTTGCTCTTTTACGCAACAAATAAATCAATATTGATGAATATTTATTTGCCGTTGTTATTATTAATAAATTAATAAATTAATGAACCAATAAATAATAGCCACTACCAGGTCTTCTCGTCGGAGAGAGGGAGGGTCATGAGGTGGAGCACGGCCTCGCGGGCCTGGAGGTCGCCGCGCAGGATGGCCGCCACGGCCTTGATGATGGGCAGGTCGAGCCCGTACTGTTCGGCCAGCTTGCACGCGGCCGGCGTCGTGGCCACGCCCTCGGCCACCTCCTCCATGGTCGCGAGGATGCTCTCGAGCGACTCGCCCGAGCCCAGGCGCTTGCCCACCGTGCGGTTGCGCGACAGGCTGCCGAAGCACGTCAGCATCAGATCGCCGATACCCGACAGCCCTGTTGTGTGTGTCGTGTGTGTCGTGTGTGTCGTGTGTCGTGTGGTTAGAGGACTGTGGGCACGTGTTGTTGGATTTGTGGGAGAGACTGACCGGATACGGTGTCGGGGCGTGCGCCCATCTTGACGGCGAGCCGGGTCATTTCGGAGCAGCCTCGGGTGACGAGCGCCGCCAGCGTGTTGGTGCCCAGGCCCAGGCCCTCAGACATGCCCGCTGTTGCATTGCCGACATTCCCAACGTTGAGTCGACACACAAAACACAAGCCCGCAGAGGAGGGAAGCGCTAGCGCACCAGCAATGGCGAACACGTTCTTCAGAGCGCCGCCGATTTCGACGCCCACCACATCGTCCGTAGTGTAGACGCGGAACGAGGGGGAGGCAAACAGGCGCTGCACCCGCTCTGTGAGGAGGAGGCGATGGTCATGATAATTAATCAGTTGCAACTATCGCGCGTGATGCACACTTACCCCGTGTCACCGAGTCGACCGACGCCACGACCACAGCCGTCGGCACGTCCTGCATCAGCTCTTTCGCAAACGACGGACCACTGATGTGTGCAAGTGTGGTGTGTGGGTGTGTGGGTGTGTGGGTGTGTGTGTGGTTAAGTTGTATAGTCGGCGACAGGTGGTGAGAAGATGATGCTGCGGCCGCACCTGATGAAGGCCATGGGCTGGTTGCGGCCGAGCGCCTCGGGCACGATGTCGGACATGTACCGCAGGCTCTCCGTGTGCAGGCCCTTGGACGAGGAGATGATCGGCGTGTCGGGCGCGATGAGCGGCGCCAGCCGCTGGAGGTACTCCCGGCTGGCCTGCACGGGTACGGCGTGCACGATGTAGCGCGCCTGCGGCACCACGTCCTCGGCCCGGGTCGACGCGCGCACGTTGGGCGGCAGCGTGAAGGCGGAGAGGTACTTGGGGTTGCGGTGCTGTTCGTTGATGGACTGGGCCACGGCCTCGTTGCGGGTGAGCAGCGTCACGGTGTGGTGGTTCTTGGAGAGAACGTAGGCCAGCGCGGTGGCGAACGAGCCGCCGCCGAACACGACGATGTCGGCCTGCTCCATGGCCTCCTTGCCACCCTCCATCTTGAGTACGTGCCAGAAGGATGAGGGGTGGGGGTGATGGTGATGCGATCCGCGGGGATGATGGGGAGTATTGGGGTGGGGCTGGTGGGGTGAGTGGTGATGAGGGATGTGGTGTTGGAGATGAGCGTCTGGAATGCGCTCAGGGTTGGCCGATGAAGATGAAGTCGACGAAGAGGGAGGTGCTGGAGATGGTGTTGGTCTTGAATGGATGAATCGTGCGGCAGGAGAAGTAGAAAAGATGAAGGCCGAGCTGTTCAGAGGCAAGAAGCGCAGGACCGCCGAAGAAGAAGACGTCTTCTTTGGAGCGCGAGGGAACGTACAACGACCCAGCCCCACGACTCGCAAGCTGTTGGTGCCCGTAGCGCTTCGTCTCATGTGGCTTTATCTATTTTTCTTGATTTTCTTAATTTGCACAAACACACACAAGAACAATAAAACCTGTGAACATGCATCCTCCTTGCTCCTTCTCCTCTCCTCCCTCCTCCTTTGCTTTCTCTCTTCTTTCCTCGCTGTGTTCTGCTTCCACTCTAATATGGTTTAGCAGCTCCTGGTGGATGCTGGGTGGTTTCACATCACCAGGCACACCATGCACCAGCCATGGGTGTAGGTCCTCCAGCCCAGTGCATTGCTCATACCTGTAGTGATCTTGGTGTTAGGTCACCACACACACACACACACACACACACAAAACACACAAGCACTTGTGCACAATACAACTGCATACACACAGAGGACATGGTGGAGGGTGTACACCAAATACTCAGCAATGAATGGGTGTGCAAGTGCTTTGTCAATGGTGAGCCACTTTGCTTGGCATAGGGACTCTCAATTGCAGTGACATCATCAACTGATGGGTTCATGAGCACACTGATGAGCTCCAGCTGTGTGCAACCCAAGGCAGTGGTAGTGAGTGAATGAGTTGGTGTGTGCATCCAATAGTTCTGGTGCACCTGGTGCATGGTGCTGTTGCCAGGCAGCAGGGGCTGACCTTTTGGCATCTCACCCAGCACAAGGCCCACTGCACTGAAACAAAGCAGGGTGTGCACAGCCACTCACACTTGCATGTGTTTAGACAGAGCTAGGGTGTGTACCTGAATGTTGCAATGTATAATCAACACTGAATGTACATGTCTGACAGCCATGAGCAGCTGGTACATAATGTATTGAATGTGAACCTCCTCCAGAATCAATGCTCATATCACAAGATGGAGGCTCATATCTGCACACCAGCCCAAACAATAGAGTGAATAAAAATTTAAACCCAAACAAAGCAGACAGACAGTCATACCCATGCTGCAGCAGATGACCCAACAGGAATCAAGCTGCTCATCATCATGCCCAAGCACATCTACCAGGGCCATGATGTTGGGGTGTCAGCCAAGTGCCTTCAGCATCATCACCTTTTTGAAGATTGCTCCTGGAGTAGGAAAGGTAGTTGTATTGCTTAATGGCCATGGGCACCCTGGACCAGTCTTTGCTCACACCTTGCCACCACTTTAGCAGGAGTTGAGAACGCCTCACAACAGCCAAACACCAAACACAATCATTTGCCAAGTTTGATGATAGTCAGGACCACACCTGTTTGCTTCTCCTGAAACGCCACTGGCCAGTTCACAGCACTTCCATCCTGCTCAGTCCCATCTTGCACTGGTGTACAGGGTCAAGTTTGTGGGTTCTTTGCAATTACACAGAGTACCTGTTGGGAATCATGAGCAGCAGAGCTCACACCACAGCAAGGCATCTCTTGCCACCTCACACCACCAGCAGCACACAGGCATGCAGGTCACCCACAACTCCTTCCATGCCATCTTCCTGTCCCAAACCCCCCATAAATGAGTGGGTGGGTCCAAGAAGGGGAGAAGTGACAAGTCAGAGACACACTGAAAGATGAGAAGGAGAAGCTCATCAGAGAGCATGGTCACCAAACATGCACCGCCCCCACCCTGTTCCATCTGTTTCAATGAAGAAACAAAATAAATTATGATATAAATTGTTTTGTAAAATTAAAAGAGAACCAAGAATGCAAGCATGACACAGCAGCACTTGTTGAGCCAATGTTGATCACAAGTGTCTTGCACAACATGTGATCAAGGTTGTGAGTGTGGTGACCATTGTTGTCTTCCCATGTCATGCATCCTCAGATCTTTCATCATTGCATTCACTTTCTCAGTATTTTATTTTGCTTGGTCATGTGTGACAATACCACAGTGGTTGTTGTGGAGGTTAAAACCAGGTGTTCATAAAAAGGGGCAGGGTACCTTTTTCATAAGGAAGTCTGTACAGAAGAATCATGAAAATAGGGCATTTTAGTCAACAGTTGGACATGAAAATAGGGCACATTGATCCAATGTGCATCTTTTTCCACACATTTTTCATCTGGTTTGTGTCCAATCTGAGACCCCCAAAATTGACCACAACCCCCTCAACAAACTAGCTGTTTCCTCTCTCAATCCACAACACTTTTGCCTTTTTCATTCTTTGTGTACAGATCTGCACCTCAACAATCTGGTGAAGTTTCATGAACCTGGTTTTAAGATCTTGGCACAACCAGCACCTCCTGGAACTCATTTCTCACACCCTTGATGACTGTAGTGGCTCAAATGGTGCTGCACCTAAGAGTGTGGACAACAGCATCATTGCCAAGAATCACTGGTGGGGGGTGATCTCACAATGGACATCTGCAGGATGGGTTGGAAGTTGTTGCTATCACTTGGCACCCCCAATGACAAAGATCTTGTCGATGCCGTGCTTGGGCATCGAGAGTTGCTCTATCATGAGATCGAGGTCACGAGCAACGATGACACCAGGCGGCCTTGTAATCGGGGTTTCTCGACAGCACCACGTTGATGCGCCCGGGCAGTGGACCGTTGGGGAAGGATTTGTAGGTGAGCCTGCCCATGACGTTGACACACCCCTCGATGTGGGTGGTGTGGGTCAGGGTGCCAAACGCAGCTAGCTCCTTGGCGCTTTTCGCTCTAGGCAGCTTAGGCAAGAGTTGAGACTTTATTCCAGATGGAAGGTATCACATCGACTTCTTCCACTTCTGGTTCTTCTTGCCGCAGAGGTGTCTCGGCAGGCAGCGAATGGCAAAGAGCGACCCGTTAGGATTATCGAAGCCGCCGAAGAAGCTCCTGAGCCCTGTCACGTCAATGCCCTCCGAGGCCAGAAATGCCACGTCGAGGTCGATCACCACATTAATCGCGCCAGTTCGCAGGGCTGCCACGATATCGGCATCGGGGATCGCCGCATTCACGGTAACGTCCAGGTTAGGCAACACAGAGGAATAGATGGTAGCACTGCCTGTTGCAACATGTTAGCCACAGAACAAATGGAAGGATAGGAGCCGTTCTGAGAACCTTCAGCGTTGGTGAGGGTGGTCAGCGTGGGGGCGGATTGGAGGTCTGCGAAAGAGGTGAAAGGAGAGTTATCCAGCACGGTGAAGACCCCCAAGCCATCGGTTGTAGCGCAGGACTGTTGGGTGACACGCTTCCTGGCGATGCCCATGAACTCCCCGCCTGAGGAAACAAGGTATAAGAGAGCTAACAAGATCAAGCTTGGCATGGACGGACGAATGAAGCAAAGGGCGAACCTAATGAGAAGTCAGGACCTGCAAGGTCGACGATACCAGCGATGAGCATCTCAATGGCAATGGTGGAGTTGTCGGGGAATGACAACACCACACGCGTCAAGGGGACGTCGTATTGGTTGGAAATGATCGAAACCATCAGCTCCATAAGCGTGTTTAGCTCAGCCTACGTTGTACAGGCAATGTTAAGAATTGGAGTTAACAAAAAATCAAGCGGGTACGGTGAGGCTGATGTACATTGTCGACTTCGAAACTACGAATGGCTCCACGGCTGAGTACAGTATCCAAGAGGGTGCCTGGCGTGCGTGCAGGGAACGGGAAAAGGCTCGGATCGGCAGCACAATCCAAGGGGATGAATACTGGTTGATAAAAAAAAAAGATGGTTGATTCTTGTACAGCACACTTGGAGGAGAGGAAGACATACGTGCTCCTGAGCTGAGTTCAGGTGCAAAGATCTCAGAGTAGCTACCATTGGCTTTAGTGATGGCTAGCGCAGAGTCAAAAGCATCCATCAGCGAAGTGTCCTATACATCAAGAATTAGGGTAAGCCATGCACCTATCTATTGGAAGAGGGTTAGAAGCTGATAGCCTACCCTGCAATCTTCAACTCCAAAGGGCAAAGAAGAAGGCGAAGAAGAACAACAGGACGAGGAGCAAGCCCTGCAGCAAGGAGCCAAGAATAGGGCCAAAAGCAAGTAGCTCAGGAGTAGTCTCATGCTTGTGCTGCTGAACGTGATGTGTGTAGTATTGTTTAAAAATATGACGCTTAAAAAGTTCTCGCTAAGTACTTTATCAGGAAGGTTGCTTCGATCACCTTCACTCATCCTGAATAGTGGTTGAATTCACTTGGGCCGTGGAGGGTCATGGGAAGAGATCCTTAAGCTGCACCCATGCCACAAGTCACGTGACTTATGTAATAGCCAACAGATCACTGTAGATGGTGCACCCACACTGGACACTGGTGAAAACTATGCAAACTGGCTGCAGGCAAGTGCATCTGCGCGTGGGATGCGCAGCTGGTTCCCAACCGGTATTTTGCACACCGGTCCCACACCGGGTCCCAAAAACACCACCGGGGCCAGACCGGTCTCCAATCCAGCCCAGGGCCATACCGGTCTGGCGACAAACACCGGGGCAGGACCGGTATTGGAGGTGTTGCGAACCGGTGCCCAACCGGGCAGAGGGCGGTTTGTTGGTGGTGCAATACTGATGAATTACTAGGTATATACTAGGTCATTTTACTAAGCTATCCACACTGTCCTTACCCGCCATCGCCGTGGTCGCCCTTGTCGTCGCCTTCGCCGTCGCCGTCACCGTTGCTGTCGTTGCCGCCCTTGTTGTCCTAGTCTTCGCCGTGGTCGCTGCCCTCCTCCTCGCCGTGGTCGCTGCCCTCCTCCTCGCCGTGGTCGTCTTGTTCCTGACGGATCTCGCCGGGCCACAGGTCCGTGATTACCCACTCGAAGCGGTGGTTAAAGATGACGTGTGTCGCTGCCTTCGTTGGGTGTGGCATTAGGAAGATCTGCCTGGCGACAGTCCATCCGTGCCACCCCAGAGGTACGTAGATGCAAGGCCCACGTTGTAGCACTTGCTGCGTGAAGGCCTGACGACCTCAAGTTCAGCCCACGAGGTGTACTTGTTACCCTCGATGCGCAGCAGCCGCCAAATGAAGCCCATGACAATGTGCTGGCCCCTCATCTCTTGTGGACCGAGGATTCGTACGGTTCTGTCGTTGTCGATGAAGCTGTACGCGATCTGCACAAAAACACAATGTGAGCAAAAACAGAAAACGCTTGTGAATGGAGGTACCTTGTGGTGCGCTTGAGGAACTTGAAAGGCCACAGCATCGCCGCGTGCACGTATCATCCCCGTGGCCGAGTTGATGTCCTCGTTGGCCGCGTTCTCATCAAGGACCTTGAGCCTGTCCCCTTCAAGCAAGTGTCCGTAGTAGTGGATCGAGTTGTGGTGGTAGATACGCAAGTTGACTGCGCCCTCCTCACCAAACTCTCGTCGCACCGCCACCTTCAGCTTCCGCAGATGCTTGGACGCTGGCAGATCAACGCCACGGAGGCGTTCGGACTCGAGGGTTAGTTGGTAGGGCGTTACCCTCGGTCTGGTCAGTACCGCGCGCCCTTTCTTATATTCTTGTTGTTGAAGCACAGCGTCACGCGAGTGAATCTGCACTACCAATGTGAATAGCTAACAAAGAGCTTTAAGAAAGAAAGAGAGAACGCACCACGATGAGGATGGACTTGTCCAAATGCCTCATGTTCAAATTTCACATTGTCATCTTGCAGTCCTGGTGCTTGCACTCCCACAAGCCAGTTGATTGAAGCCAGGGGGGCCTGAGAAACCAAATCTGCTCAGCCCAATTGATCATCTTGAGGTTGGGAAGCTCAAAGCTTGGCTGCACTCCACTCAATCTTGAGCCACTCTCTTGCACCACCTGGCCCCTGTAGATTGAGTAGAAATCCTTCTTCCACCTGTTGACCATCTTGGTCAACTGCCTGAGATCCACCTTGGAGAATCCTGGCTGCTTGAGGAAGTCAATGATATCAATGTGTTGTTTCCAACACTTGAGCTTGTCCTTGTCAATGAGGCCAAGCAGCAATATCTTGAGAACCTGCACACTTGCCATCTTGCCACCTATCAAACTCAAAGCCAACGCCATGCCAGGCTGAGAAAAACAGTTGGGGTTCATGTAGATGGTGTCAATGCTCTTGGGCCAAGTCTGCTGGTGGCTGAAACCATCAGTGTAGAAGATCAGCAGGATCAAGCAGCAGTTGTCAGGGTTGCGTCCAGCACAAGCTGCAGCCATGTGCATGTACCTGACAAACAAAAAAAGAGTTAGCAACTATCTACTCCATGCTGAGCATTGAGTGTACTGTTCACATTTGGCCCAATGCTTGCTTCCACATGGGTGATTGTTGATTTCTGCCATGTGGATGAAATGCTCATCCTTGAGTGATGGCTTCTGTGTGTAGTGCTCATGGATGATATTGACAGGGTTGATGGTGCAGTATGTGCACTCAGCCCCTTGTGTTTGGGCACATCTTGTGCTTGTGTGTCTTCATGGAGGGGAAGTTGTGCTGGACAAAAAGCTCAGTTAGAAATGATTAATGCAATGGTTTGACAGGTGTACAGGGTACCTCTGTCACACCATCAAGTACGTGCACACTGTTGGTGACATTCTCACTCTTGAAGTCCTTCTTGGTGAGGATGTGCAGCAGTTTTGCTGTGGCCCTCTTGTTTATTCAATGTGTTCACCACCACTTGCCCAGCAAACAGTTCTCCTTGGTGTGCGCCCTTGCTACCTTGCTCCATCTCTGAGGAGCCTGGTAAGCAAAGACAACACCAAGTTGAATGCACTTACACAAAACAGCACCTTAAGTGGAGCTTCAGTGTCTGTGTACATTGGCAATGTGAGGAGCTCAATGAGAAGCTGAAGCTTCTGCTCCTGGCGGAGTGGGAGAAGTGTGACCTGCTCATTGAACCAAGGCGATTCTGCAGCAGGCTTTCAAACAGCAAGAACACACCCTGTGACCTTGTGGTGGCTGCTATTGCTCAAATTGGCCAATTGGTATGTGGTGATGAAGGTGATGAACATGCACACAGTGAGGCTGCCATAGAGTGGTGGGTCAAGCACATCTGTGTGTGTGCAAGCCACACTGGAAATGGCACACAGAACACACTCTTTGAACTGATCACAATGAAGTGGGCCAAGACAGTGCATATCTATCTTCACATTGTGATTGAAGGGTGAAGTACACTGACCAACAAAACCACCAGGCAGTCAGTATCACATTAGACTCTGAAAGTGAGCCTGGTACCACATCACAGATGGAGCATTCCAACAAGGATAGCACGGCACATGACAGCAAGCCAGACTCCTTCATACACACTGCCCAATTGCTTTTTCTATTTTCAACAATATTCACTGTGTCCTGCAAACATGGTTTTCACTGAGTCCAGATGACATGACACTGTGTTTACTCAAAGAGATTTCGTTTGTCATAGGTAAAAGGTACAGCAAGGAAGCAGAGCTTGAGTTTGCAGCCAGCATGTCAGAAGGCCAAGACCAATGAGAGCTCTGATGTGGTGATGCAGGGTTCTGAATGTACATCCTTCTTCCACTTTGTTATTCTCTTCCACTTTGTTGTTTGTTATTATTAATAAGTAATCCCTGGTAGTGTACAGTTGTGCATGCATGTCACAGTCTTCACTTGAGGAATTGGACTGCAGTCCACTTCAAATGTGCAATGTTGAACCTGTACCACAAGTTTGAACTTGAGGTTGTCTGGAATGTGGCCAAGTCCAAGCTGACAGTTATCCTTCCTGCGGTGGTCCTTGAGAAGTTTGATGACAGTATTGTGGGGATGATCAACAAACTCTACACTACCTGTGGTGATGCCCCAGCATGGTGTGTTGAGAACTGCAAGGGTATCTGCTGCTTCTGGGACAAGCTGCCAATCAACTCACACAGCTTTGGCAAGAGCATCACCATTTGGTATAGTGCATTTTGCCTCCCTTGCTAATTGATGGTGCTCTCTCACAAGAGTTGAATAGATGGACCAGTCATGTGAGTAGTGTGAGAAGTGATGCTGAGTGTGAGTGATGGTGAGTGATGGAGGAGCTACAAGTTGATATGTCAGTGCATAGTGCATGAGGTGACAGTGACAGTGATGGTGCATGGAGGAGGGTGGTGAGCCACAATGGCAATGGCAATGGTGAGTGTGATCATGTGTATGCTTTGTGCAGCACATAGAAGTTTATTTGTTCAAAAATGCTTGAAAATGTTGAAGTATGGGGCACTGGGTCAAGACTGGTGCAAGCATGATAATGTGCACCACTGGGTCTGGACTGGTTCTTCAACCTTTTTCCAAAGTCCACAGCACCAGTCCCAAACCAGCATGTCAACTGCCACCAGGTCACACCTGTGGCCTGACTGGTGGCAGACCAGCCCCAAAATGGCGAAAAAAACCCAAGTCCACACAACCAGTTGGGGACCAGCTTCAAGCAAAAAACCCAAGTCTGCAAACCAGTCTTGGGGCAAGGTGTGACCAGTGCAGAACCAGTCTTTAGGCCTTTACTGGGCAGGGACCAGTCCTTATTTTTCCCCAGTGCACAAGGGGATGATTATCCCCACATAGATGAGGAGGAGGGACGAATAGGGAATAAAAAGGTATTTTCCCCACATAGAGGGTAAATCAGCCAATGGGAATGAGGCTATTATTCCCACATCCAATAGGAAACAAGCCACTTTTTCCCACATAGTGGAGGAGAGAACCAATAGGAAATGAGTGTATTATTCCCACAAGATCTTTTTTTCCCACATAGAGGTCTCATTGGTTCTTTCCTGCCATTGGACTACTACTCATTTTCCCCACACTGACTGTGATTGGAAGATCATGTCTTTCTTCTGTGATTGGAAGATTGTGTGTTTCTTCTGTGATTGGTTAGCATAAAAGATATAATGGACCACCAGGACAGATCTGTGTCTTTTATTGACACTCATGGATTCTGCCAAACAAGACAAAATTAATTGGCCCACCAAGCCAAAACCAACTAACATCACCAAAATAACTCATGTTGATGTGCAGAAAAGGTACAACAAGCTGCGCAGGTCGAAGAGGAAGGTCTACTTTACCATGGGGGCACCAGAAGTGAATCCACATTGGAACAAGGAGCACTGTGTCTTCAACCTGCACAAGTACTTGTCTGGTGGTGGCTACCCACTGATGAATTTTTGGAAGCCTGGTAAATTCCCACCACCCTCAAATTAAACACAGGCTGCCTGATTTAGGGAATAGATAATTCCCACATAGAGACTAATAATTGTGTGTGTTTTTATTGTTAGGGCTGGCCACAAACAAGAGTGGTAAGATTTCCATCTTTCCTCACATCTTTATGGTCAAACTGGTTGGTAGGGCTGTGCCAGCAACCTATAGTGGAGCGGTGGTGCAGTGCAGTCATCTTTGTGAGAGGTTCACAAGGTTGATTTCAGCCTCAAGTGGAAATGGAATCCACACCTGGTGCTGTAACCCCCACCACATTGTTGTGGAAAGTCACTCTGTTAATATGTGCTGAAGGAGATGTGCATGGGTGAGTGAAGAGGGGTGTGAGTGTGGAGCAGAGCCCTCATGCCTGCTGTTCTCTGGCCAGGCTTACCTGGCACAGTGTTGGGCCATGGAGGAGCTATTTGAGCACTTCCCTAAGCTCATGATCACTCTGCCAGGCTAGGCCCAGTTCATGCATGACCACAATGGGGCGGCTCCACAATAAGCTCAACCAAGACCATTCAGCTGTGCACTCAGTGATTTTTGCACACACGCCAAAATCCCCACATAAAGACTTGTGTTCTTTCTCTGACCATTAAATTTTCCCCACGCACAAGCTGATGTATGTTCCCCACAGCTCAAAAAATCCCCACAGTGAGTCACCACAGTCTAGGTGTTGCTGTAGTCAGTGGTGTTGTTGTCAGCACCATCAGCGCCATCATTGTGTCATCAGCATTGGCATTGTCATTGGTATCATCCTCATACACACACCTCCTCTTCCCTCCAGCATCCTCCTCCAGCTCTTCCTCCTCCAGATTCTGCTCTGACCCTTAGTTGCCTTCCTTTTCTTTCTCCTTCCCCTTCCTTTTCTTTGGTGCCCTCATGTCTAGGTCGTCCTCAGCTTCACCATCCTCCTTGTTGCCACTGCCTTCCTTGTCATCATCATTGTCATCTTTGTCATGGCCCTCTTTGTCGCCATCTTTGTCATAGTCCTCTTCATCATCTTCTCACTGCCTGGATGGTAGATGGGAAAAAGCTTTTTTTCCTCACCAAGACACACAATTTCACTCTTTTTCAGCCTTGGTGGTGGTGTAGTGGTGCCCCTTCTTGCCTTGGTGGGCAGATGACAGACATTTCTGTCTTGAAGTCTGCCTCCAGTGCACCTTGGTGGATGGAAGATGGAGTGTGACATCTTCAAGTCCACCTTGGGAGCACTGCAAGGTGGGCACAATGGAGAGCACATCATGAGGTGGGCATTACCACCACAACCATACCATACAGGTGAAGAGAAGGTGATTTTGTTGGTGTGCACTGTATTCAAAATATTTTCAATATGTTACAGGCAAAGTGTTGTGCGGTCAAGCCCTCTGGCCTGCATGGGTGGCTGGCTGCACAGCACTCACTCTGCACCACAGAAAGAGTTAGTATATGCATGTTGGCGTGGGATGTTGTGAGGAAGTGTATTAAAATACCACCATAATGAGAGACATGATGCTGTAACTGACTGGTCATGTACATGTACACAACAACAAAAACTGTAAAACTGGACACTTACTTTATTGTGTATGTGTATGCAACAACAAAAACTGTAAAACCAGACACTTACTTTATTGTGTACACAGACATGATGATGATGCATTTGACTTACCAATACTAAGTTCATTGTGTATGTGTACATGATGAGTTTATTGCATACATGAATGTGATCCAGAAAATCTGAACTTAGCTTGTTTTGCGTTAGTGCTCCTCTGAACAACTTCAAAATGCACCTTGCTTTTGTGCTTTCATACCCTCCATCAATTCCATCCAACATGCTACTCTCATCCAGTTCATGGTCAACCTCACATCATATTCATTGCAGTTGCACACATGGACTAAACTTCATTCTTCACATTTGTGCTGAATTAAAGCACTATTCCTGAAGATAAAATTCCACCACAACAAAGCTCTATCTCACACTGACAAAATCACTTTTAACTCCACACATTTCAAGTTTTTATGAAATCTTTTTTATCTCCAGTCCCTCAATATCACTCATCAGCAGTGGTCTAGTGTGTCAATATCACAGATTCAGTTCCAAATCTTCAAAACTGCCCTATAAATCGCACAAGGGCTTTGAAGATCAAGCCTACATGACCTGGACAGCACCATCAATGACTTCTACAGGCAGCTCTTCGTGCACCAGATTGACTTTGCCTTTGACCTGGACAAGGACCATGTCCTTCTATTTCAAATGGGTGGAGCTCATGCTCAGTGCGTTGGATCACTTCTTCAAGGGCTTTTAAGAGTTCCAGTTCAGCCAGCAACAGTTCAACCTTCCTCTTGGGTGGAATAGCTGGACCATCACCAAGTGTGTCCACCTTGTGCTGCTACAACACTGTGTTGTTTATAACCACCAAGTTCAATGGCACCTGGGTGACAGGTGGGCCACACCTCCACAGCCCTGGGTTGTAGTGACAATGGCTGGTGACAAGCATCAGTAGGCTCTGACCAGTGGTAAGGATGATTGACCAGTGGCAAGGACAGCAGTGAATGACCAGCAGTGAACAACCAGTGGCAAACAACCAGCAGGTCAGCAGCCAACACCATGCCTCTGTTTATCATGTCCACAGTGCAGAGTCATGTGGGGAATGTGTTGTGACAGGGAGGTGGAATGGAAGTGTTTGGTTCCCTAGAAGATGCAGGTTTACCATGAACACATATCCACTGCAACTGAGTGGAATCTCATCAAACACAGATGCACACCTGGTGACACACAGGTGTGGAGGAGGAGGAGAGAGCTGACTTGGACCTGTACCCTTCTCTTGACTTTTGTATGATGTATGTGTGTAGTTTTGGTAAATGCTAATGTGCTGATGTTGATGGAGGGTTCATTCAAGGAGTATGGACCCCTGAGCAAGTAGATTCCCATATTGATCCCCAAAGGACTTGTCAATACTCCTTGAATCAACATCATTGCCCAATTCCTCATCCCTTAAGGATCCCAGACAAACATGGGGATGGTGTGTGTGAGCATGTTGCCTATTGGGAACAAAGGGACTGGAGGCTTACCCAGGTGACCTGTTTTGTTTGTTTTTGACAAATAAGTTGAATAATTGGCAAGAACCAACTGGTGCCAAGTTTACCCACAGTGCCAAGCCATACAATCACTGGCCAGCTGACAAGATGTAGCCTACTTGCTAACCACTGTGCAATCACAAACCAAGTGCAATTTCAGATTCAGGTTGGGATCTGGGCTGCACTCCTGTCCCACTGTGACAAGGCTGCCCAGCTCCAGGCACAACACTCATGCTCATGATTGAGTAATTCTTGCTATTGTGGTTGTCACAGTTCATGTGAATTCTTTCTATTCTAACAATAAATTGCACTAGGAGGTCCCCACCCACTGACCACTGAGGAGAATGGACCAGCACCAGGCCTGGCCAGACCTCTAGTGGGGTGCTGAGGTGGATAATTGGGAGAAAAGATGAGTACTGCTGGATGTGGCTGGGGACAGTAACAAATCTACATGTCAGGCCAGTTGGCACTGGGGGGAAATGAAGGCAGACAGGTGTCACTAATTCACTGGGGCGCCTGTATACAGAAATGTATCACCATGTTGACTGACCAAGGCTGGACTCAACACACTCAGTTGGGTTCTTTGTTGGTAGGTCAGACAATTCTCTTTTATAGTGATAAATTAGCCAATAATTAAAAAACAAAAATGGGACCAAAAAGTGTACAACGAGAGTGGAGGGATGTGCCTCACTTGTTGAAGGACTTGACGCCCTTCTCCAGAAGCAGCTTGATCCTGATTGATTGAGAAAGAACAGAAAATGATTGGTTCGTGCGCAGGTTAGAAGAACGCTCGAGCTAACACATAGAAGAACGTGGGCTGTAAGTACTTGGCAAGCACGAGTGGCTGATCGACGTCAAAATTGACGGCCCACTTGGGCAGGTAGCCGCAGGGGTCGCATTCGCAGATGTAAGTTACCACGCAGGCGTCGGGGTTGCCAGCAACACTGCGATCGGAGAGGAAGAGAATGAACATTCACGTCGTGATGATGTGAGGGTGCGAGAGGTTGTGTTGCGAGCGTACGCCTTGATCTGATAGCCCGAGGCCCGCAGGTCGGCGCGCACGTACTGCTCGGTGGTGGGCACATGGCCGGAATCGACCGAGCGGGCGATGGCGAGCCACGTCTCGTCGTCCACCTTCGTGTAGACCTCCAGGCACTGGAAGTCACGCGGGTAGAGTGGGAAGGGGAACCTGCGATGATGTTTACAAAAACCCGTCAGCTTTCCATAATGCAAAGAATGCGCGCGTGTCGTGTCGTGTCGTGTG